TTTTTTCCAGAATTAAGAGTTCACTGCTATAATTCTCCTTTGCTGTTCCACTGAGATGCAGCAGTTCACTTACATAGGCTGTAATAAAATGATCACGTGACTGAAAGGCCCACTCACTTCAGTTTTCTTCGCAAATTAATTAACACGATGATATCGTTTATCGTGATAATTCTGGAGATGATAATCGTTTGTCTAAATTTACATTATCGCCAAAGCCTAGCATAGATTAATAAAAGCTTTTCTTGTGCTGATTCACAGTCTAACAAATTTCCTACACACACACACACACATACATATATATATATATATATATATATATATATATATATATATATATATATATATATATATATAAAAATAAATAAATAAATAAAAACACCCCAACCACAAGGTTTAGCCCTTTACATAGTACACTTGACCAGGTCAGACATAAAGTTACATATTTACTGCAGAAAGAAGCTTCACTGGAGTCATTCTTTGTCGCCATGTGCTGACATATGCTGCGCACAGACCGCAATGCATAATGGCAAAAGTTAAACTTGATTGAACTTGAGCCCTGCCACACGCAGTCAACGCCAGCACGACTTTTTTCTGCATCTCACTGCCATTACAAAACAGATCCCAAAACACGCAACGTGAATTATACAAGGTACGCTATTTCCTCTACATCTAATTGCCATTTTAAAACATAGAATAACTAAAAATGACAAATAGTACAACAACCACTCAATATAATAACGTATATGGTGCAGGAGATACATGCTTGTGCCTCAGGTGTCTTCTTGTTCGAATATTCCCATTCCACCTTTAATGGTACAGTAGTTATATTTAACACAACTTGCTAGAACGTAACTGCTGCACCATTTAAGGTGGAACGGGAATATCGAACAAGAAGCTGATGAATAAGAGGCCAAGTTCAGCTGAGGCCTGCAACAAACGACTATTCTGATAGTCGAATAATCTATCAATCAATCTATTGAAATAAATAATTAATTATTCAGAATATGAATCGCTCAATTACCAAATAACTCTTATGTAGTTATCAGCTTTTAAATTTAGTTTGAGGTTGTTTTATGCATTTCCTAACAATGAAGACAAAGATTAACACCTTATTTAAAATGTCTTAAAACCTTTCTTAAACTGCAGCTCTGTAATGGTACTGAATGCACTCCAGCAGTGATGTTGACTGCCCCAAATGGCGGCGACGTTGACGTGCCTGACTGAACCCAACGTGGCATCTATGCATGTATATCTATGAGCAGCTCTATCTCCAGCCATAAACATGAGCCGTGTTCAAATTCGGCAAGCAGTGGCAAATGTTTGTGAAAAACTGTTCTGTTTGAACATTTATATTTGAGTGCTTTAGTGTAAACATTCCATTTCAACGATAACCCTTCATCTAGTTGCACGTATGTTCGCAAGGAACTAGCTACCTCCTAAAACTGTTTGCTGATACCGATTTATCTGCAATTAGCTCATATCCAATAAAAATATCGACACACCGATTCATCAGACGGGCTCAAGTCTGGATGCAGTTAATAAGCCACAAAAGCTTAAGCAATATGAGCAGCACTGCAAGACACACAAAGAAAATTCCAACAGAAATACAAATAATTTAAAGTGTCAAAGAGCTGCCAGTATGCTGTCAGACAGTACACTGATAAGCTCCAAATACATATTACCTGGCCTATGAAACATTACTTCACCACACCTGCAGAAATATAAAGTCTCCCTTTTCCACAGAAACTACTAAAAAGTGCAACTGTGACCCAAGGCTGCCATATCTCAGTTCTGTGAGAGTAGTACCAGCAAAACACAGATTGCAAACATCTCCAGAAATGGACTGAACTGCGCACTGAAGTCTGATTTATTCACACAGTTTGCTCAATGGCTAAAACAAGTATTTGACAGTAACTTCAAATATCTGTCATTTTGTACTAAAAACACTGTAAACAAATGTGTTTGTTCACAGAGGCCAGTTTTGCACAGTGTTAACCTCCCCTTAGACCCCAGCGACACAGTGACCCACTTCATTCAGTGCAGGTTAAGAAGAGCAGCTATCTGGAGTAGCACTACTGTACACTGACGTACATCTACATTACAGAGGTAACAAAAGAATAAGGAGGAAACAAAGTTTCTCCTAAATCAACACATTACTATACAGACAAAAAATGGAATGAGTCCATGTATCTGAGACCTTCAAACTGTAGTTCAAACGTACAGATCCTCACCTCACCTTTAGGCAGTTATAACATACACATACAGGAAAAGGAAAAACAAACATAAAACTTAAGCCTTTAGTGTGGTTTGAAAAAAACCAATGTAACTGCACTGCTTTAACATCAAGGTCTGCAAACAACCATCACCAATCAACAACTCACTCACTCCAGCACTCCTCCTGCCTCCAAGCTCTAATAAATTGTGCAACATGATTATAATGTTTTTTCTTAATCCAAATTTGTTTAAAAATATGGGAATGTTGAATATCATGAATCGCTACACTTCTAAATGTGAGTGTTTATTATAAAAATGTCTTAAAGTATGTTGATGTAACATTTCTGCTAATCGTCCACCATTACTAGAGGAAAATATTCTTATAGGGTGCAAAGATGAACAAGAAACACCCCTCTTTTTTAACACTAAATATTCGTTTGTAAATCAAGCAACACCACGCTGACTGCTTTTGAACAAGTTACTCAAAACTCTTAATAAAACTTTTTCGAAAAAGGCTTCAGGAAAAAAAACTAATGTTACAATGAGACAGAAAATATATTTTTTGCAGACCATGTCTTGAAACTCCTTACTTCCAGTGATCAAATAGTTTCTTCAGAGAGCGAACAATTTAACATCCAGAGCACTTATAGCAAGAGGACAAGTACTGCCGGCATTTTGGCAAATTCAACATGTCTCAATGTGGGACTGGTTTCTTAAAAGCCTCCCATAAATACAGCTGGACAGTACTACGTACTATGAATGCTATTGTGATACTAGTCCATAGGGATTTATTAAAAAGATACACATATGTAAAACCACTGGCAGGGAGTGCTGGATTGCACCACAATACCTACTATAGCTACTTGTATGGCACAGCGTTAAATTAACAGATAGACTGACAGTGTAGCACTGAAAGCATGCAAGACAGCACAACATTGTAATTTCTACTTCTCAGAACGTTTTATTATAGTGACAAATAGCATATGTAAAAGCATAGCACACTCCATAACCCAAAAATGACAAGTAAGAATCCATAAACACAACAGGCAAAAGACAAACTTTAACAAAAGGACATCTGCCTTCACCAAGACACAAATACAACCATATTAATCTTATCTTTACATCAATACAATATATAATTATATAAAGAAACAACAGAAAAGGCTGAAAATTCCCAAATGGTCGGTTAATAAACTAAGCATATTTTGTTTACAACAGAGTTGTGATCACAGGTGAAAGTAAGTGGAGCCAATGAGTATTCTTGCTAAAAATGAAAATGTCCAAAAAACACTGCAAGATTGAGAGACAGCTATGTCTTTCTAAAAGTACCCTTTGTTCACTCAAATGAATATGCTCACTACATGTTGATGCTAAACTACAAAACACGGGGTGGTAGTTTCACGAGGTAGGCAGCACGTAGCAAAGGAAAGAGTTCCCACAAGTGATAAACAAATGAAAGAGAGTATATGATAAGTCAGTATTTTGCAGAAAAGCCAGCTTCACATTTGCAGCGTTGCTCGGTTCCCTTGCCACAATATAGTTCTCACTCCTCCCAACCCCGCCATCTTGGGCCGACCCAAGCAGCCATTACTACCAAACACAAATGAGCGTCTCTTTTCAACACCGTTCAACTAGTTGACATATGAGTAGATACAAACTGCGCGTGACGTCTTACTGGCAAATGTTAAAAGTTCAAAAAACACGTCTGCAGTGTTAAAGCTGATGTACGGTTTTAGCCCAGCCATATCAGGGACTGATGAACGCACCATCAGCTAGCTAGCGGAGTTAAGCTAGCTAATAACGGCGACCAACAATTGTCACTAAAGCAAAGCAGCCGAGGAATGACAGTAAAACTTATGCATGGTGCACAATTTATGACACGTTCACCAGTTTTAAATATTAACTGGAGCGCTGTATCTAAGGCGTTGCTGAGCCCTATCGACCCGTGTTCACTTAACCTAGTTAACGTTATATATCTTGAGCTAATTTAGCCTGATCCGTGAACGGGGATCAGTTACAGTAAGCTAGCAACTTGGTTATGTATAGAAAAATAAACCGTAACAATTACATCGTCAATGTTAGCCAACGGACACAGGCCGGATTATTGATATTACGTGGAGGTCAATAATAGCGAAATGTTCGTGTCAGGAATAGCAGACCAGTTTAAGGTTTCTAAACTGTCCCGTAGCAGCCACGGTTGTGGAAAATGGGTTCAGACTGCACACCAACAAAACCAACTCAAAGGATTTAACGGAAAACGCACTGCATAGACGTGTAACGTTAGCCAGATAACGTTAGTTAGCTTTACTAGCTAGCCAGCTAGCAATGTATTTGGTAACGTTATAGTAAGAAGAGCAAGCTAGCTAGCTTTTTCGCTTGTTCTTACAAATTTACAAACCTGAACGTGCAATGAGCTTAAAAACTTGTCTATATCCGTCGCCAGAGCAGCGGGGGAATTTAGTACCCGAAACAAGCACAGGGTGTAAATGGTCATTTTTAGGTTTCATTAGAAAACGGGGCTACCTGGTTAGCTAGCTAGCTAGCTATGTAGCCTGCTTAGAGAAAATAAGGACGTTGCGTAGCCGCAGGGTCGCTAACGCGTTAGTTGGGTGCGCACATCAGACAAAGTTCTCCCGTCGCAGTGGTAAAAAACGTGTTAAATGAAACGGCTACATTTAGAGCTAATGTGCAAAATTACACTCTTGCTTCCATGCAGGGTGCATGGCGTGTTTGAGAAAGGACCGGCTTAGGTTGCTTATTAGACACAACTCGCTAGCTAACGTTACCTTTAACAGCAAGGCCTTCGTTCTGGCGCCATCTTCATGAAGCCTCAGAAATCCAAACAGTGAGCTGCAAGCGAGAAGACAACACAGAAAGCTCAGTATCAATTGATGTCGTTTGAGGCTTTTTGGATGGCTAAACGCAGAATAAAATGTCAAAGCCAACGACAGTGACTTTGGGTGCCTTTCAGACGGCGTTTCTAACCTGTCAATTCCAGCCAAACTGTCCCTCTCCTGCGCTGTCAGCCTAGGAAAGTCCTCCTCGGTTTCACTCGCTTTTCCCGCCGCCATTTTCTTTTCCTCATCACCAGCAGCGCCGAGGCTTCGAGCAGCAGCGCAGGCAGCGACGGCGAGCGACACTCGGCACGATTGCATGGAATCGCACCGAGGGAGCGAAGGGCGAGTTCCAGCAGCTCAAAAAGCGACACGAAATCAACGCGATTTTAGAAACTTTTTCCTAATATGGCGAAATTCAGCTATAAATCCTTCTGGAAACGAGTTATCCTCCACTTGGCCCTCCTCTCACATTTTTACAACAACGCTTGAAATGCAGAAAATAGACGTTTGTGCACGAGCGGCTAGTCATGCACAACTGCAACGGTCAGTTTTTTAAAAATAAGTTCAAACTTCTATCTGCCACCAGATTAAAGTTGTTGTAATTGTGTCACACGGGCGAACCCACGCCGTCGCATTCGACACGCCCTCTCTGCGTTCAATAGCCAATAGCACGTGTGAAATTGAGCACGTGACTGGCCTTGTCCTAAAAAATTGTGGACCAATCCTTAGATTAATTTTTCCCCAAAATGGTCTTTGAATCAACAGCCCCGTTTATGTATGTCCATAGTCCACGTGTTTATTAAGTAGACAGTACTCTTAAAAACAGTAGTAGAGTGGTTTAGTCAGTGGGAAAGGTTTAGGATTGAAAAAATATCCAACTCCATTTAAGACAAAAACACTAAACATAATTAAATATTAAAATTTTATACGTTAATAATCATAGCTACTGTAGTCAAGTTCATGAAATGTATAAGTATTCTCGTTACTGGGAATGTAAATTATGATTTAAAACTTACAAATAAATTAAAGAAAATAAATTCAGTCACTGCCTGTTCCTTATTCCATCCTTATTCAGAGATGTTCGTTCAAAGCTCGTATAAAAGCATCTTTATTAAATAGTTTATTAAATAGTTTATTGTCAGCCAATAGGGTCTTGCTGCATCCTGCAGCTCTTCTAGTGTAATAGCATTTCAAATAAAGAACCTGCATTCGTTTCATTTTGCACACTTGGCAATAAGAAAATCACGTGCAGCGTTTTATATATTTTGTTTACAACCCGGACACAACTTAATGTTTGAAACCTTGACGTGGCAAAGCATCACACAGTAGGGGTGTGTGTGTGTGTGTGTGTGTGTGTGTGTGTGAGAGAGAGAGAGAGAGAGAGAGAGAGAGAGAGAGAGAGAGAGAGAGAGAGAGAGTGAGTGCGTGCGTGCGTGCGTGTGTGTGTGTGTGTGTCCACAGCTGTCAACCTCATCTGACACGAAGATGATGTAACCAATACAACGTTACCCAAAATGGCGGAACACCGAGAAGGTTAGTGTGAATTAAACGCGGCTAAGCGACCGCTGCGTTAGCTCGTTAATGTTTTAGTCTGCTTGTAACCACATTTTTGACACTATTAAGAGCTCGCCGTTTATTCTACAATCACAAATGTATCCGATTATGTTTTGCTGATGTTCATCCTCTCCCCTGCTGCCCCGCGACTAACTAAGCGTAGCATATTCGACTTGTCGAAGGCACTAATATTAGCGTAATAAGGTAGCTGCATTTCTAAACACAGGAGTGCTGCTTGTCATATAAGTCATTCGCTTTCGAGTACATGCAGTTTTTTCAGCTAAATAGCTGAAGTCCAGTGTTGGCTTCACGACATGTCTGTCCTGTAAAGACTGAGGTGTTTTGCCAAGCAGATGAGCTAGTTAACTAACGTTAGCTAAAGGTTACTAGAGAGAATAGCTTTTTGTAAAAAGCCGGTCTGCAAATTGTACTGGCCCAAAATACTCCTTTAAAGAAGCGAAGTTAACTGTCAGTGGACACCAGAAGTTGTTGTATGTTTTGGGTTATAGTCTATAGTGAGTATATTCTTTTACCAAATCGCTTAGCTTATGCCCAAACTATATTTTGGTGCGTTAACCACTTATGTTTAAACTGAACTGACTAGATGCTTTTCTTGTAGAAGAATGTTGGAAGCACTAACGATGCTCTATATCAGGAGTTCCTAAACTTTTAGTCTTGAGGGGCCAAATGTTTGTGGTGGGCAGAGGGCCAAAAAGACAAAGCAGTATACAAAAAAGGCAAGGAGGTTTTGAGTTTGTAAAAAGATAATTGAACAATATTAAATTTGTATTATTTTATTTATTTTATTACTAAAATAAATCAAAACTGTTTCTAGAAACCTAAGAATTGAAAAAGATATTGGTAGTATAAAAATGTGTTTGTTCTCTCATTGGGTGAAGCAGTGAGGTTAGGGTAGCTTACTGGTAGGCCAGCTTTGGCCTGAAGCTGCAATTTGGGCAGCGCTGCTCTACATTTTGTGAAGCGTAGGTTTCCCCTGACTCTGCGAGACTATGCACAGTTATTTTGTGTCTTAGATGACATGTTGACTGATTTGTCCTCCTTTTCCACTCCAAGGCCAGGGGGATGCAGACAGTGAAGGTGAGGCCTATGAGGTTGTGGACTTGACAGAGTATGCGCGCAGTCACCAGTGGTGGAGCAGAGTTTTTGGGAGTAACTCTGGCCCTATTGCAGAGAAGTACTCTGTGGCCACTCAGATCATGATGGGTGGGGTCACTGGCTGGTACGTGCCTGCTATGAACTAAAACCTATTTCTGTGTGTGATTTGCAGTGCTCCCATTGAAAGCTCAATAATGGTAATTACTGCTTGATGACATTTTATTGATTTAGAATGTGACAAGAAGGTCCATTTTCCATTAAAACAGGGGTGTCCTATCGTATCCACAAAGGGCCGATGTGGCTGCTGGTTTTCACCCAAAACAAGCTGGAGCACACCTGATTCCACTGGTTTAATCAGTTGGTTTCAGTCTTCAAACTGCTGATCAGGTGATCTTCTGCTTTGTTGGAATGAAAACCTGCAGTTACACCAGCCCTTTGTGGATAGGATTGGACACCCCTGCGTTAAATTATAGTTAATGCTGTGGATCAAAATATTTAGGCTACTCATTCTTGATGTTAAACATATACATGTTGTATACACGATGTCCAAAAAGATCCAGAAACCTATTCTAATTTGAGAATTCAGCAACTTCAAGGTTGCTGACACACACAAAGCTTATATAATGTCTGTAGAAAAGCATTGCAACTAGAATGGGACACTACATAAAGCCACCCAGCTTTGGGCTGTGGAGCAGTGGAACTGAGTTCTCTAGAGTAATGGAGCTCTATCCAATATCTCTGGGATAAGTTGGAGTGGCATTTGAGATCCAGGACTAATCATCCAATGTAAGTACCTATCCTGAATAATGCTCTCAGGGCTGAATGCAATCAAATCCTTTTAATATTTAGTGTAAAGCCTTCCCAGAAGCAAAGGGGGACAAACTTTTTAGTATCCTTAATTTAGGAAGAAAGTTTAGTAATGCACAAATTTACAAACCTTTGGACATATAGTGTGTATAATGAATATTCTATATCAAATAGTATGTAGCGTATCATATAGTATGTTATGCATTAATGTGTGTGTGTCTACAATTTTAGGTACCCACATCACCTCTTGAGGTTTATCACAGTTTGTAACAGCTGGAGCAAATAATTTCGATGTTACTAATTAAACATGTATCATTCTTTTGGTTCTTATTCTCAGGTGCGCTGGATATCTTTTTCAAAGGGTGGGGAAAATAGCTGCTACTGCAGTAGGTGGAGGGTTTCTCTTACTGCAGGTACAAAGCACCAGAGTACCTGCCAGTTCACATTCATATCACATTGTATATCTAAAGTACTGTGCAAAAGTCAGACCCTGTTTTTCATTTATTTAATTGACAGTCAGAAAGGCCTTTCATTTGTTAATGTTTCAGCATCAGGGCAAAAAAAGCAGAAAGCACTTAACAGAAAATTACTATAACTACAACTAAATATAAAATTTTCTGGTACTAAATAAACGAAAGGTGGGTTCTGATTTTTTTACACAACTGTATACATATGCATGTATAGAATTTGTCTATGCTATAGTTTGCAACATGTATTCTAAAAGATCATCGCTCTTATACAGATTGCAAATCACAGTGGCTATGTGCAAGTTGACTGGAAGAAAGTGGAGAAAGATGTAAACAAAGCCAAGCGACATTTGAAGAAGAAGGCCAACAAAGCAGTCCCTGAAATAAACACCTTCATTGAGGAGGTAAGGTGTATTTCTTGATATTTCACATTTTTCATCAGCCTTTTTGTCAAAAATAGGTTTGTCATGCAATGCGTCATACCTGCAATTAAGTTTATATCAAGTAGCCTTCATTTGAGGAAAAATACTTCATGATGGCAGTTTATTGATTTAAAATATGATATAAAAAATCAGTTTCCTATGAACTATTAAGGGTCGCTGTTATTGCCAGTAATAACAAAAGCATGGCGTGATTTGGTACTAATTATTTCTCAGGCATGGCTCATTGGATGCAACATGGTTCTAATGAGTCTTTGGAACAAAAGTTTTAGAAATTTTTAAAATAGATTTTAAAAAACCTCACAAACCTCTGTAAATGTCTGAATTTTTCTATTAGAGATTTTAAGTTCTAACATGCCTAAAGACTGGAGTAAAAAAGGTTTGATGACTCATAACAATAGAAGAAAATTTTTTGCTGCTATATAGAACCGTTTTTGAAACTTTTTTAAAGCAACTATATATAACAGGTTTTCAATCATAGAGAACCATTCAATCATGCAAAGAACCATTTTAGCATTCAATTGGTTCTTTGAATTCTCACATTTCTGTATATAAGAATTACCTTTGTCTCCTAATTTTTTCTAGGGTGTGAATTATGCATATACCTCAAAGCATATATCCATATTTGATTCTCAATCAATCTGAATAAAATAGACATCAATATAGAAATGTCACTGTTTATTTAAGAATTTTAAGAATCATTGAATTTGATTTTTGTGCAGCAACTCTGTGAAATAAATAGGGAATTTCTTTCAGTTAATACCATATTTGTGTTTGAAAGTAGAAGAGGATGTAAAGTTACTGTTGTTTGCTGCATTCTTTTCGTTTTGGTCATGGTCTTGTCATGTTTTTTGCATTTGAAACAGATAAAAAGTAAGAAGTGCAGTCTTTGAACATGTTGATGCTCATCACTGTTTAAGGTTTATCATGGTTTATAAAAGCTGCAGCAGCAATTAGCTCAGTCTGTTTTGGTATAACTAAATGGTACAACTAAAGAGGTGTGCTGTTCACTTATGGATGTAGAGTCTTCTAGAGACTGGGTATTTAAAAAATCTGGAAAATTCATATTTTACATTTAGATTTATATAAAACAGCTTTAAATCAAGCTTTTCAGATAAATGTTAACTTTCCAGCCTCTGGCATGGAATACCACACAATCAGTAACAGCGCCCTCTGTTGGTGAAACAACAAAAGTGTTTTGGTCGTAAATTATACAGGTGTTCTGACTTACGGTGCATTTGCATGGACTTTGTTAACTCCAAAAGTTGTTAAGCAAACAACCATTTGTTTGTGTTTGTTTTGGTCATCGGCATATGATACATTTCTCAGGCAAATATTGTTGAAATGAGCCTTGCTCTCTGTAAAAGCATAATTGCTCACTGCAAGTCAGGCAGGAATGCTGCAGTTTGTTGTTGCTTTCTGAATTATTATCAGATCATTGGTATATTTACCATTATCTTTGTTTGCCAGCTTGATTTACTGTCTTTGCTTGGTATCTAAGAGTGCACTGGATGACAATGTCACATATTGTAAACTTGGGCAACATGGAACTTACCTGAGTTTACCACTTGTTTTAAGTTCGACTTTAGGACCGAATTAGGACCATCCAAACAACCATAAGTTCTGAAGTCTGCTTGCTCTCCTTTCACCTTTCACTGTTGTTTTTTTAATGAGAGATGGCACAATACCACTTTTGCCTTTTCCACCACCAGTGTTAAAAGCTTGAAGATCAGCTGATACTGATCCAAAATTATTTTAAGCTTTCAAATTAAAATCACCTAAGACAAGCACCTAAAAGTAGGCTATTAAGCTCAACTGCTTCACTACGCCACAGAAGGAAAAGGGGTATCAGCATTCAGAGGACTGGCATGTTACGTTTTTCTGCCAATGGCGTGAAAGGAAATGATGTTTAACGTGTCACTGGCACATTCCGGTCTCGTGCAATATATACCACATATTCAACTGTTAGTGGACTTTCTCATACATTGTTCAAATTATTAAAGTCTTACAGGTTTGTGTGATGTGTAAAATGACATTTCTCAAACATTTGAGGTATACTAGCTCCTTTTGGTTTGTAGCTTTAAGCCTATTGTTAGACTGAAGGACTAAGGCTAGCTAGCAGTGTAAACGTAGGGAATGCTGCCAAGTATGCCAATGCTAGTCTGATAAAAATTTTACTAAATTAATATGCCCAGCAGAATGTGTCGCTGCTAGTTAGTGAATTGTAGTGAAATATTGTGAAATATGCCACTGCTGAGTGGAATATGCCAGTTAGTCAAATGTAGGAATATGGCATGGCTGATTAGATAAATTATAGTGATTAGTAAAATATAGTGACAGAAATATAGATATTAATATCTTTGTCAAAGCTTATATACCCTTCGTCAAGTTCTATTTTATTGTATCTGACAAGGGTCGATGAAGTTTGAGCCTGATCTATGGTGGAAATATTGTGTTGTGGGCATATGATGTACTGCCAGTATATACAGTAATGTGAATACAGAAATATATAAGAGCTCATATTTTTGCTGAAGTTCATAATATACCCTTGATTTCAATTTTCTTTTTAACAATATCAGACAAGTTTCCACAAGACACTTGAAACAGATCTTTGATGGAAATTTTCAGTTTTAGGTATTACCTATCAACTAATGTGTACCATAATTATGAATATGTGCACCTGAGCTTTCTAACCCATTTAATCTGTTTTATTCCCTCCAGAATTCCAACATTCTATTCTATGCAATTCCAAAAAGGTTGGGACAGTAGGTGAAATACATATAAAAACAGAAAGCAGTGATTTGTAAATTCACTTTGATCTTCATTTAAATAAAAACAGTATAAAGACGTTCATTTTGTGAATTTTTTGTGAAAGTGTAATATTTTGTCAAATTAGCTCATTCTGAAACTGATGCCTGCAACACAAACACTCTTCAACTCCTTGAGACCACCGGTGGTTCCAAAACGCACTTTGTCATATTCTTCATAACTTTCTTATTTCATAAGCTACATTCAAAAAGTGGGTGTCATATGAGAGCTGTAACTGTCTTCTTTCCAGTCAAATAGATAGCAATATGTGTATGATCATAAAACACATTCTCTGTTAATTGGTTGGGGAGCTTTTAAAATAAATAAATAAAATAAAAATGTACATTTAATTCATGCAGTTACTGAATAATTTGCCTTACGATTTGGTCATGTAAATTCAGATGGAAAAATCAAAATATACCCTGGTCAATAAGAGGTTAAATCAACTTTGGCACTGGCACAATTTAAGACTAGAAACATTGCAAACACTTTGTGTTCATTATTTCAAGGCAATTGGGCAGGGTACCCTTGTCTTGGGCCTGTTCCTGGCCTTTACTAATTTCAGTGGAATTTCTTATCAACCGTGGCGACAAATTAGGATATACTATTTTCTCGAAGTGTAATTATTGGTTTTAGATCCAGGGTTTTGGCCTTTGCCTCAGAATGATGCCTCAGATATCCTTATTCGGACGCAATTTAGCTGGGTACCTTTGGCCTGGGCCTGGGCTTTAGCCCTCCCAAAAAATATATGTGCCATATTCTAAGGTGTTTTATGTTCGTGACAGGACACTGGGCCTAGGCCTCAGAGCTTCCATTCCACATTTTATTCTTATTCATCTTTAGACACTACATGTCAAAAAAACAAAAAAAAACAGGTGATTCAATCATGCTGGGGTATAGAAGGAGCATCCAGGAAAGGACTAGTCATTTAAGAGTGAGGATGTGTCGAGGCTCACCACCAATAAATGTGTGGATGTTGTGCTATCTGGGCGAAAGAGGAAAAGGACTATCCTGACTATTACCAGCACAAAGTTCAAAAGCCAAGGTCTGTCATGGTGGGGAAATGTTTTAAAGTCAAGGGCATGGGCAACTTGCACATCTGTGAAGGCACCATTGATTCTGAGGGGTACACACATATTTTGGAGCAAAATATGGTGCTGTCTAGACAATATCTTGGTCTTGCAGGTACGTTCCTGCTTGTGCCAGCAAGACAGTGCTAAGCCACATTCTGCAGAGTTACAAGAGCATGGCTTCATAGTAAGAGAGTGCAGGTGCTACACTAGTCTGCCTGCAGACCAGATGTGTCTCCCTTTAAAACCATGTGGCGCATTATGAAGCGCAATATATGACAGGGTACACATGGGACTGTTGAGTAGCTGAAATGTTCATGTCAAGCATGATTGGGAAAAACTACAATAATTGGTGCATTCAGTCCCAACAATAAAACAAAGTTAATTAGTTAACATTAAAATTAAATGTCTTGTCTTTATACTGATTGAACGCAGATGAAACAGGATTTGAAAATCACAGCTTTCTTTTTATTTGCGTTTAACTGACTGTCTTAACTTTTTTGGAATTGGGTCCGTCTTCTTTTGACTCCTTGCTGGGAAGTAATGTTTATAAAGGAGTTATGACATTTACCTATGACATGGAATGATATACCACAAATGAGAGTAATGTTGTAAAGGTTAACACATAACTGTGTTTTAGCCTATATTAGCTCATTGCTTTCCTTTGAAAAATTTCCTATAGAAACGTGCATGCATGAGTTGACTTTCCCCAGGAAAAATAGTTTGTTAGTTTACATGGTTTATAATAAACCCTGAACTGAAATTTAGTCTATTTTCTAATTGTAACTTGGTGATCCATATTCATAACACCATCAAATATAAATTCACTCCTTTTTTGTTTTTATTTTAAGATAGGTTTCATGGAGAAGCACCTCAAAATTGTAGGACACAAATTAAAAACTATTTTTTGTTCTTGGCAAAGCAGTGTTATTGCACTGCTGGTCTAAGCTCTTATTTTTGCTTCTCATTGCACGTCTTAAACACAACTGCTCAATTACAAGATGAAATGAATTTTTAAAAAAGTGCAAAGGTATTTCCACAAAAAATGTTTACTAATTCACACCATCAGCAACAAGTTCATGACCACAGCTCTACTTCATTCCCTTTATTGGGATCAAACACAGTCAACTTTGTCTTTAAATGTTTAATTAATTGCCAAATTTTAGGTGCCTACAATCATCATTTTGTAATAAAACACCACGTCACTCAACAACGCAGAGTGACATGAGGTAGTTTATTCTAGTCAAGGTAGGTATACTCCACTCAGACACTAACGTTCAATCTTTGCTGGCTTATTCCACACAGCATCTATATTTCACTAACTGGCATACTTCACTCAGCAGTGGCATTTTCCTTTCAGCCACTGTATTTCACTAACTGCCGTATTCTGCTGTATACAGTTACACTGCTAGCTACCTTTAGCCCCTTAGCCTAACTATCGGCTTAAAGCTGCAAACCCAAAGGAGTTAGTTACGTTTAACAACGTAGTATACATCAAATGTTGCACATCACACAAACATGTAATACATTGATAATTTGAACAGTGTATAAGAAAGTCCACAAACAGTTGAATATGTAAGTGGCATATTCTGCTCAGAGAGTGGCATGTATCGCACGAGACAGGAATGTGGCAGTGGCGCATTAAACATCATTTCCTTTCATGCTAGTGGCAGAAAAACGTGTCAGTCCACTACTACTGCACAGGAGGACATACATTGCTAACATTACATGATACAGTGTGAGTGTGTGTTGTTCCGGGCTATATTTGTCACAGGGTTGGATCAGATTAATTCATTTCTGCTGGCGTTGGCCTCATAATGATGCCTGATATCAGACCGATGCCATTTCTGCTTTGAACTTTGTGTTTTCTTAGTGGGGCTGTCTGCCCTAAAATGACAATTTAATGTGTTAGTCATGTTATGTAATAGTATGTAGCACAGCACTGCATCCCTCCGCCTCATCAGTTTGACAGAATACAAAGTTTTGAATCCTAATTCATCCATCATTATTGTCACTACAATGCATGCGTTATGTGAATACAACCACTGGTAAACGCCTCCACTGCAGAAATCCTGTCTATTAGAATAGCCACAGATGAGATATTTAGATTCCTAGCAGTAACACCAGCTACATACAGCCTACCTTTAAGTATTTGCCCCAAAGCAGTTGTAGTTTTTCAAAGGTTCCTCCCACCTCCAAGATACATCATCAGAAGGAGGGGTTTCCTCATCTTAAAACCAGAAAATGTGGCACCACTGTAGGGGGCAAGTAGGGAAACAGGTGAAGCAAAGGTTACATTTTTCTTTCTGGCCAGAGTGCCCGTTTTTCATGTCTCTTCATGTTTTTCAGGCTACAGAGTTTGTCAAGAGGAACATTGTGCTGTCCAGTGGGTTTGTTGGCGGATTCTTGTTGGGTGTTGCCTCCTGAGCCAAACTGTTACAGGCCTGTGAAACAGAACTACACTAATGCTGTGAGAATGTGTCTCCTGTGAACCTCTGGAAGCTCTACTGTACTCTCATGTTGCCAATTGATTAATGAGTCTGCAAGACTGTCAGTCTTACATATTAAGTGATGTTTGGATTCCATGCTGAAATGGACGTGGAGGTTTATCTTTAACTACAGCTCATGTTTCCATTCAACACGTTGACAAACATGGACACACCCCCGGTCTTTAATATTATGATGTGCAATTGTACTTGTCATCATACCATCATATATATGTATATATTACAGGCATCTGAAGAGAGAAGAGAAAGTAAATGTCAAAGGATCACATAAAAGTAAACAGTAATTGTAACTTCTAAGTTATTCCTTATTTAACAGTGCAGATGTTACGTATTGTTACTACAAGAAATGTGTTACTGTTTGTTTTATGTATTATTTCTTAAGTTAAATAATGTCATACCTTTTTCTACTAATATCTCTATGTACTGTATAGTGATCACATTTATACGGGTACTTGATACATAGTCAATAAATATAATTTCTGCGCTCTTATATACTTTCATTTGCTTCTTTCTGTCTTGGCATTATAAGCTACATGGAAAGAAACTAAAAGAAGCTACACAGAGTTATAAAAATTCATATTGCCCTGTTCAATGCATACATAAAACAATAGCATAATAGCATAAAAAAGCAGATAATTCTGCTGGATGAATAATTCTGCTTTAAAATAAGTTTGATACAAATAAATAAAAAGTATTTTCATATATGTTACACAATTCTTTCAAAAATGTAACCCCCACATTTCTCTCTCCACCCAACCAAGCCAAAGAAAGTGAAAACAAATAGACATATTTCATGAATTTGCATTGTTCTTTGTTGTGTTAGCCTTGGAGATACACAGTTATTACAAATTAATTATTAGCCTGTCTGCAGCCCAGAACTGTCTCCCACTGAAAAAGTGTGGCATATAATTAAGCTTAAAATGCATCAGTGAAGCTGAAGACTTGTATAGCAGAAGAATGGCAAAAAATCCCACTTTCAAAACTGGATCACTTCTTGTCTTCAGTTTGTAAAAAATATGAAGTGCTGTTATAAGAAAAGGTGATCTAACACAGTGGAAAATTTGATATATTTACACAACAATGAAGTTCATAAGGCAAAACATCAAATATTGTTTTTGTAATGTTTTCAGTCAGATCAAACAGAATGTTCTAACCCTTGCTGTCTGGTTTTATTAACATTTTACATACCATCCCAACTTTTTGGGGAATTGAGTTATTAAATGGGAATTTTACTGATTTGTTCACAGAATTGTTCACAGTGGTGATGATAGGAACCAGATGTCTGAAGCGTTTACTACTAAACTGAGGATCCCACACTATGGGCATTTTGAGTGTACCTTATTCAACTTATGAGGGGTCACCAGGACTGGGATTGGGAACCCCTGCACTAAAAGCTACCTCACAAAAAGATGTTACACCGATGATTCCCAGCCCTGGTTGTGGAGCAACCTCTTGCACGTTTTAATGTTTTCCCTGCTACCAACACACCTGATTGAATTTAGCAGCTAATTAACAAGCCCCTCCTGAGCTGAGGAGTGTACTAGAGCAGGGTTGGGAACTTGCCTTTTACATGAAAGGGTAATGAATTCCTCCTGATTCCTAAGTAGGGCTGGTCTGTAAAATTCAAAATCATATTTTCTGAATATATTCCAATATCATATATTTAAATCAGCATTAAAACCAGACAGAAAGCACATTTCCAGAATTTCTTTGTATTTTTATTTTTGGATTTTAAACAGTTCTTTTAAAATAATGTGAATCTTCCAGTCCACTGCAGTTAACAGTCTGGTCTAAACAAAAAAATGTGCATAAAATAGAAATAAAAACCTAAAAAACAAACTGCTTTGCAACAGAAACCTTGGTATTTTATGGTCATTATACTATGGATGGTGTCCATTACCTATTTAGTATACAATATATTCATTGTGTTACCTGGGACTTTAAAGCATGTCTATGATGGTTAACTATTATACCACAAACTGCACTTTTGGTGGAGAAGCAAGATTTGGCCGTGCTCTCCAAGGATGTAAGTGAATTATCTACTATTGTCATCTTTCAACATAATGTTGATTTTGCAATTGAGACCTAAACATCGAGCTGGAATTTCTTTTTGAGTCGGCAAAGTTGAATGTAAAGACCAATGATGTGGTCCAAAACTCCCACAAAATCTGACCTTTAAATTATTACTTGAGTCTTCATATGGTGACTTGCATCACTCCTGACTCAGCAATCCTCCTCCTTTCAAGTTGCAATAAATAAAATTGGGGCACACCCAAAACAACCCTTGGCAAAGAGAGCACCTCACAGCAATTTGCATATTTGCCATTTCAAACTTTATTTTGGTAAAATCATACAATAAACGTTTTTCTCGTGCAGTGCACAGCTTCTAAACTAGTACATAAAGCAATTTCTAACTCTAAGGGCTCCGGTGATGTTCTTTGTCATGGTTTGGTGAATCAAAAGCCTGTCTTTTTCTGTCCTTACTGACATTCAACAGCTGCTTGTTAATTAAGACTAACGGAATTGGTCACCAAACCAGATAGAGAACAACACTTCCAAATGCCCAATTTCTGCAAATGCAACAAGAGAGAATAACCACATGTTTTTCCTTAAGATTGCCATGTGCCAGACATTCACTGAGGGGGGAGAGGGGGGGAGGAGGACAAAAACAAAAACGAACCAAAAAAAAGGATTTGTATAAAAAAAATAATAAAATAAAATAATAAAAAAAAATTACAACAGAAAAAGGAAAAGACAATCTGGACACTTTGCACTTATGCATTTAGGAAAAATGTTTTGATAACTTTTGTCCAAACCTTGGCATGGTTGTTAACGTTCAAATGTTGGCTGCCAATTTAAGTATGTGATTGAAATATTTGGCTGAGACTACAGGTATGGATTTCAACAAGTCCAAAATGACCTTAAACATTAAAAAGCTCACACTACCCCGAAATATATAAATTTCACGCATACGGGTGACATTCAACATTCAAGTGCCAGTGTTTTTGTACTGTCTTTTGGTCAAGTTACTTGAAACTATCACTTTTAGGCTTATAAAAATAAATATTTCTCAAAAATGCTCAATAAATTACACAAACTAGCAGCAAAAGTAGAATCTAGTAATCTGTGTGCAAATAGCTAAATTCCCCACTGCTGACTCCCTGGTCCCAAATCGATCCTGGTTAAATATTGAGAACCCTTCCCCTTTTGTAAACAAGCTGCGCGTCCTTTTTTTCTTTTTTCTCAGGTCTTCACACACAATTATTTGGAAGCTTAAGGACACGCACACAAGACATTTATATAAAACTCTAGCTGTGCAATAAAAGAATTTTGTAAAACTTGATGGGCATAACATACATGGGCCTAAACCTAAATAGCACCACTCATCTCAAGTTACCACAATACTGTCAGTGCATCTGCTTCAGTTCACCATTTCTCAAACTTCTTTAAATGTCAAAGGCACAACACGCATGAGAGGAAATCTATTGCACTTCAGTTAAATGTAGTATCCGTCCCACCCTCCGTAGACCTCGCCCATTGAAAGGGAGAGGGGAGCACTGCCAGTTACACTGACCGACAGTCTCGTCTCCATGGTACCACACGGCAGCTCAACTACCGTAACAAACAGTAAAAAGAGGGATGGGGAAACTAACCCTGTCTTTGGCCAGGACGCCATGGAAACCTCATTCACTACAACAAAAAAAAAGGAAAAAATAGAAAGTGTTATGCCTAAACTGCAATCCCGTCAGCCTTCGCCTCACCCTGTGCAGTTCCTTTTCCTGTGTACATCATTCCTGATTTTGTCCAGCACCCAGTTTGCCCCAAGCTCCTGGGGTCTCAAAAAGGGGAGCCACGTCTCTAGTGCAAGCCCAAGGATGTCTTTTCGAAATTCAACGCAGCTTGGGAAAAGAGAGAGAAGTATAATGAAGATCTGGATGACGTTCTTCGTAATGAAAACAAAAGCCTGCTGCAGAAATCTGAATCTCCTTGACCAAAAAAACAAGAACACTAGCATGCGAATTACTGCAGAGACGGGCCTGGCCTTTAGAGCCAGTCCACTCTGACACTGTGGTCCTAATGTAGCCATTTGAACTTTTCACTATGGCAGTAGCTTTGAGAACACCATTTCATTAAAGAACTACTTGATAAAAGTAAACAAAAAAAAAGAAAAAAATCCAATTGCCACTTCCACAATAGTTCAAGTAAGAAAACAGAATGAATAACCTAACACCACTCCACTAAATGGCTAGTCTTTAGTACTGAACTAGCTGCCTGAAATGTTACAACTCACGAGTGGGAGCGTTCAAGCACTGTGTATCCAAACACTGGCGTGAACGGAGGTACACACAGTTCACAAATTACTATGGATATTAAGATCATAAACTGGAATGGCTTGGTATTTCTTTTTTTTTAGCGACTACCACGTCCCTAAGAGGTACCTCTCCAGGATAGCGTGAGCAAGATTAACATTTGCATTATGTTCATTCCCTTGCAGCACATTATATTTGTTTGCTAAGCAAGAGTGAAAGCCAATAGAGGGAGGGACAGCCTGGTGACCCTGTTACAAGTTCAGAACAAGATCATGCATCCCATCCCAGAGTTTGCCAAGGTTTGATTAAGCTCAAGCTTAAATTTTCTTGCCTTCAAAATGAATAAGAATTTTGGAAAAACAAGCAGGAACACAATAAAAATCTTAACTGTGGCCAAGCCTTAGCCAGTCTGACATTTAAAAAGGAATAACAGAAGTCAAAATTTCAAGGCACAGTACATTAACAAACAAATGATTCTCAATTACTACAAAAAAAGCAATGAGATGTAGTGGAAAAGGAGTCAAAAAAAAGGTTCTAATGAAGTATACTTTCTGGATTTTTTTTTCCTTTTCTACAGACGAGCAGGTCTGGAGACTGGTTCCTCTGTGGACAAACCTTCAGTTGCCCTGGCGACCCCATCTCCTATAGCCAGCGGTACGCTTCATTTTGGGATGTGGTCAGAGAATCACAGCTGGTAATGTACTGTCAAGTTCTTGAAAGCTACACAGGGTATACAGTCTGGCTAAGTTACATGTGGTTTCCATTCAGTGAGTTTGGCATGGTGACCCACTGATCGTGGAGAGTGGGTTTGGAAAGATGGAAAGTGGGGAAGGGGTTTAGTTTCCCCACCAGTCCACCTGAGAGTAGTTTCCTCCATAGCCATCACTGTTGTAGAAATTTCCAAATCCACCTGAGGACAAAGAATTCAAGATTATATTAAATGTGTGTTTTTTCCTAATGTGGGCAAAACAAACAAGACTGTGGTCTGTTTATGCAAAATGAACACAATTAAAATAAGTGCATCAGTGCAATGAATGTAAAAAGAAGCTTTTAAGGCTCCTCCCCCAATCAGGGTGTTCCTGAGCGAAACTGACCCTTACCACCACCAAATCCGCGGTTTCCACCATGTCCCCCTGTGTTACGGCTGCCACGGCTACCAAAGCCTCCGCTACTGCTGTTGCTGCTGGTTTGCCGGTAATCCCTGGCTCCAAACCCACCAGAGAATCTAACAAATTTCAACAGAAAAAGCTTTGCTTTATTGGTGGATAGTTATTGGCTGATGCTCAGTTTGAAGAGATGCAGGCTGAATCAAGAGGCAAAAAAAAAACCCAAACGAGCACCAAATTTGATTCCTCACATTCTCCCAAAGACTTCAGGCCTTGTTTTAAGAAACCTGAAACCAGTGCCTTAATCTGAGTAACATTGATAAAATAACTCTGAAAAAGCAGAAAATGAGTGTGTTGTCACCTCTTTGAGCGTCCACGGTTGCTGCTTTTATGCTGGTGCTCATACGCCAGGCTTTCCAGCCAGGATGGCACTTCCTGTTTAGCCTCAACCAGAATGTCCAGCAGGTCCTTGGTAATGTTGCTGTTCTTGTCATTGAAAAACGAGGTAGCAAGACCTAAACAAGCAAGCACGTTGTCAAAATCGATCCGTGAACATACACAAAAATGCACAGCCAGCCATTCTTGTAAATCAGTTAACAAATAAGGTCATTTCTTACCAAGGTTGCCCACACGACCAGTACGACCAATTCGATGGACATATTCTTCAATGTCACTGGGCAGGTCGAAGTTAATGACATGCTTCACATTGCAAATGTCCAGACCACGGGCAGCCACCTATAAGAGCAAGACAATGGCTGAGAGAGGGACAGACATGCCCTTCAAAAGAGAAAGTCCCAAGTAGGGCTGCAAACTTATTCACATTCGTGGAACAGTATAACAGATTTTTGGTGAAATGCAAGTCGTAAGACCCACAGCTTAAGCATACAATGTCAAAAGCGCAGCCTGACACCAGCCGTCAGCCTAGAATCTTTGTTTACATTTCCTTTCTCTTGATGAAGCCACAAGTCAGCTGCTAAGTGAGTCTTACAAATCTTCAAATGCCAGAAAAGCATCAAAATGAAACATTTTATTAATTGCTACTTCAGCACTTTTGGATTTACAATAGCATGCAAATGTTTGGGCACCTCGGTGCGTTTTGTTCATTTTCATAGGCTACGATCACTTCACAAGCTTCACTGCTAAATTCTCAGATCTGATCTTTCTAACATGATTGTGGGTAAGTGACTCAAATCCACCTCTAACGTGAACAAACTTGCATCCTGAGACAACCCCATGCACACATCCAAATAAAATACGATCACAAATTAATCCACACCCCACATAAATTCTGATCTGTGCACCCTCATTAAGTGCCATGGCCACAAATCATATGTATTCAATCTAGGACCACAGAAGCAGCCCATATCATAATTAAATGTGTGTGTATATAATTTTTTTTTTTATAGGCAGACAGGCAAAGAGAAAGGGTTTAAGCCATGTTTTTGTAGTCCAGGATTAGGCATATTCCCTGTCCAGGAAACAGACCCAAGTCTGTCTTCTCAAAACAGTAATTTGGCTAAAGGGCAATCCTTATTAGACAAAGATTTAAATAATGATATTAACACACCACACACAACACACAACTTACAGCAGTGGCGACCAGAATAGGGCATCTCCCTGAGCGGAACTGATGGAGTGCTTCCTCACGGTCTCTCTGTGAACGATCACCATGGATACTGGTGCAAGCATAGCCCTCACGATATAGGAAGTCTTCCAGTGCATCGGCACCCTTTTTTGTTTCCACAAATACCAGAGTGAGAGAGTCTTTACCTGTGGGAGAGAGAAGCTGAGTTAACATGGCAGAACAATTTGAGTCTGGAGTCTGTTTTTGGATGCCAGCAACTGGATAATGATTTTGACAAACAAACATCACTCACAAGTGTCTCTCATGGGAGCTCAAAATTGTGGAAGAATATTAAACGTCGGGTAGAGTGTGGCCATACAGTTCTATAGTTCCAAAGATGGGTGATGGAGAATGATGGCTCATGAACAAAAATGTGATAACACATTTTATAAAAATGATAAATTAACAATTGTGGACAAGGACAAATGTCTACACTGGGGGGGGGGGCACATTACAAAACATCTCACATGCACAAGTCACTGACAAGATTTATATTAAAGATAAACAAGACACTGACGGCATGTAAACAAAGCTTCAAGCAAAATAAAGTTGTGATGAGACTTGCAGGTCCACTGGGGATAAAAATCTCTACTCACCAGGTTTTTCCCTGCTTTCCCCAGTGCTGTCCTGAACCTCGTTTGGTATAACTTTGGATAAAACCAGACCTGACAATAAGCTTTATGTATTCCTAGCACACTAAAAACAGTTCCATTTACAGTGTAGCTGATCACATTAGATGAATATTACCATGTACAAGAAAATGGAGAATGTTCCTAATAGGCTTTATCTAAAACTCATTGCTGACTGGCTGGACCATCATGTCAAACATGGATGTTGTGTGGAGCTCTGTGTCTCAAAACTGTTAAATGCTTCATTACATGAGTAGATAACTACATAGCTGATATAATAGTCACCTGTGGCATTAAGAAGGTCGAGCAAGAAGGATCTCTTATCACTTTCCTCAACCCAGACCACCTTCTGGGTAATGTTTTCAGAGGTGGAACCCACACGTCCCACAGCCAAAAAGATGTAGTCATCCAGGAAGTCACGTGCTAGGATCTACAGGACATCCAAGACAGCCAGTTAATCCAAAAAAAATGCTACTTGGAGTGAACGAACAAATGAAAGAATATCCCTGGCAGTAAGAAATAAATCTTTCAAAGAACTGGACATGTTTGTGGCAGACTGCATGTAACCTATATGAACAGTTTTCTTACCTGGATCTCTTTTGGGAACGTGGCACTGAACATCATGGTTTGGCGCAGGCCTTTAGGAGGCATGGTGTCCTGCTCCACAATACGTCGGATCTGTGGCTCGAAACCCATATCCAACATCCTGTCAGCCTCATCTAGGACTAAGTAACTGCAGTACAAAGAACACAGAAGTTCAGATGGAGAATCAAACCATTTTAGGGAGACTCTCCCTATTGTCCCAGAACAAAATTTATTATAGTCTTGGTCATGTGCTTGTATACTAAAACAGATTCTCTTAAAAGACAGACCACTCACTTGCAGTAATCCAAGCCAATCTTGCCCCTCTCCATCATGTCTACTAGACGGCCAGGTGTGGCCACTAGCAAGTGGCAGCCCCTCTCCAGGTCTCGGATCTGCTGGCCAATATCGGCTCCTCCATATACCACACATGGCCGCACCCGCGAACGATATGCAAACTACATAGGTTGGGGGAAGAGGAGGGGGAGAGGGAAGGAAAGGGGGGGGGGGAGAAAGTGTGGGGGTTATGAAACTGAACACAGTTAAATAAATAAATAAAAAAGTCCAATGACCTGGAATGAGTATTTACCTTCCTGGCTTCATCATATATCTGGAGAGCCAGTTCCCTAGTGGGAGCCAGAACCAGCGAAATGGGATACTGTTTACGGCGGCCATATCTTCCATTTTCCTAAAGAAATAAAATGCATCATCTCAGCCACACAATTTAAGAAGAGTCGATTCAAAAACTTTAAAGCCATAAGCACATATACACCTACCTGGGCACTGTTCTTTGCAGCCTGCAGGGCTTCTCCTGGCCCATCTGTGTAAATCTGGCTCAGCACTGGCAGCAAGAAGGCTGCAGTTTTACCAGATCCTGAGACAGAGAACACAGATCATCAACTCAACTGCTTCACTTCCTCATACATACTAAGACAGACTCAAGCTGGCCAAGTCATACTGATATCTGACCTGTCTGTGCACATGCCATAAGGTCTCTTTTGGATTTGATGATTGGAATAGCATGTTTCTGGACTGGAGTGGGGCGTGTGTAGCGACTCAGAGCGATGTTGCCCATAATGATCTCTCCCATGTCCACATCATGGAACTGCACAAGTCATTTCATAACAATTCACACATGGGCAACTTCAACCATAAAGGCAATCTAGACTTAACAGCATGCAAGAAACAGATTCCAATTACTACATTAGGACACCCACACTCTCAATGTGTTGAGGACTGTTGTGGCCAGTGGCTTCAACAGGAATGTCATCATATTTCTCAAAGTTAATCCCTGTGTTGCTTCCAGAGAACAGCTCGCTGTGAGGGACAAGACAAATCAGACAGGTGGAAAAAGAAGTCAAAGTGTATAGGTCAGCAGTCACTGTTCTAGTCAAAGTGCATGAGTCAGTACTCACTGTTCTAGCCTTTCATTTCGGGGCAGAGGTTTGGACCAGTCCTCATCATCTCTGGACTCCTCAGCCCAACGGCTGTTTGCGCCGCCACTAAAACCTCCACGCTCATACCTAGTTAATCCAGATATATGCACTTGATATCTGCTCTGTTTGAGAATCAGTGCATGACAACAGCTCAAAAGGATGTTGTTTCAAGGCTTTAAGATTAAGAGGGTAATTTTACCTTCCCCTGGAAGAGGATCCACGATCACTGAAGAAGGAAGACTTGCCCCTATCAGAACGCCCACCAAAACTGCTATAGGCATTATCTTTTGGGGCATTCCATCCAGCTCCATCTTTACTGTCATAGCCAAAGCCTATAAAGTTAAAGTTCAGACTCTCTCTTCTACTTGTTTCTACACCAACAGTCAAATTCATGACTCCTTCTGCACCTACTTGCGTTTTGCCCTGGCTGGTAGGTGCCACTGCCCCTGCCTCTGTAACCTCCTCTGCCTCCACGATCATTGCGCATGGGTCCACGGCTGCCAAAAGTGCTGCCTCCATTCATGCGGTTGTCTCGGCCATCATGGTAGCCATTTACAAATCCATTGCTACGGCCACCATCCCATCCTCCAGCTGAATCTTCACATACACAAGAATACAGCACTAACATCAGAAGAAGCATGTGGGGAGCCAAAATGACTAAAATAGAGGCTTGGCTTTTTTGATCCAAGGCAGATAATCTGGAATGAATCCTTGTAAAGTAGTCAAAATTGTAAATCTTACTGACATGCAGGATTCCCGGGGGGCTTGTTGCTCCATACATTTTATTGTGAAAGCAGTATTCATCTGTACCTCACTAATATACTCAAATTATTTAAGTATTGATCAAAAATAGATGTCCTAACTCCAGTTTCATAGTCTGCAGTAGCCACAGATCTGACAGCTACAAAACTATTGTACTTTTTTGCACAATTAACACCGCCTACTCTCCAAATTTCAATGAAAACACAAGAGTTTGTTGCCTGTGTTTGCACACGTGTTTCCCTTAGCAAACGCCATCAAAACAGAGACTCACAGCTCCTGGTGGCACTGATTAACCATACTGTCTACCAGAAGAATAAGCTCCTGCTAAAAGAGAAAAGTATATAATCAAGAGAGTGCTCTGGATGTGTTACATGGGGTATATCACAAGACTAGTTTGATTAATCTTAACTATTCTATTAGAAGAATGGAGACCATCACACAATCCTCCTTGGTCCTGGATGCAGAATGAACCTCGACATGTGTTTATTCACATGGTTTCCAATTAACTTGTGGCAAACAAGAAAAAGGGGAGAGAGATGTTTGCTGCTAATTAGACACAATACCTTGTGAACTGTGACCAATGTTTTCCAAAGTTCACATCCAGAAAGACATTAGAAAAAAAGAACTGTGCACGCCAACCATCAATAGTATAGTGAGATTTAATTTTTCAAAAATCCTGTACATTCCTGATATGTACAAGGCGTTAGTGTTATCCAAGCACATCATGTCAAGTTGAGATTTGTGATTCTGATGTCTGAATCTGAAAGGCTCAACGGTTTCTTAAAACACTTTCAAAAACCTCAATGCATATGCATTGCAGACTGCAGACCCATGCAGAAATCAAGCCAAAATAGTTTAATTTTGCCGCTATAGAGTTATGTAGTTGAACCCGACAGTTTATATTTTAGAAAAAATATATATAAAAAAAAAGAAGAATAGATAAAACCCACAAGCTTGTTAACTGCAGTAAAAATAAAAATTTCAAAAATACAAAACACAAAATGAAAACTATCTGCAAAATTAATGAATAAGTTAATGCATTTATAATTTCTAAAATGCTTTATAGTCTTCCACACAATTTTGCATGCTCAGTTTCACTAGCGAGCTGGCTACCTTAGCAAGTAACCTACAAGCTCTGTATGGTTTAAATTTTGCCTTCCCACTCAAGGTCACGTAAACTACAAATAAATTAACATTTTCTCTCCAAATCTTCACTGTCTGTATAAAACTTCATTGCCAATAAAGCAATTCGTCATGTATGCATATAACTGACATATCCACAATTTTAATAAATAAATAATTACAGCCACCCACATCACATTTCTGCAATCTGGCAATCAAGTCCCACCCACAGATTCACTGGAATGCTTGAAATTTGGTCGACTCATTAAGAAAAAGACCAAATTTAATTTGCACTTTACATTCAACACCACAAAATATTGAATTCATTTTAAAAACCAGTTTAGTGGCTCTGACAACAGAGCTTAAAGAAAGAGCAAAGAGGACAAGGGACACTTACCATTTTTGGAAGCCTCCTTGTTCCTTAAATGGGGTGGAATGTAACGCCCTGGTGACAAACAGCTTTTGTCAGGATGGCAAATTTACAAATCATCAGACAAAGCCTTTTCTACAGATGACTTCTATGCTATCCAAGACTCTGCTATTACAAGTCACTGTGGTCCACGTAAGGACCACTCTGTGTATTTGGATTTTACGCACGAGGATTACAGCCTACTGATCAAATCAATTACATGACTGTCACTCTGCTAAACTAGTCCTGGGGTCAAAGAGCACCCAGAACATGGATACTCACGGCCAGTGCCTCCACCTTGTACATCGGAGTTCAAGTCTAGGACAGCAATCTGTAAGAAAAGTGAGGATGATAAACAGGAAATCAAAAACAGGCCAAACACAGTGCACTGAATTAAAGTGAACAGAAGCTAAACAAATGGAAGAACCAAGTAACAATGGTCACATGTTGACTGATAGAGAAGCAGAGTCTCTACAGCCAACAAGGACCTGCCCTTACAGCTTACAGGCCTTACAGTTCATGTGCTTCTGCCAACAACCTACATCACTAAGCGAGTGAAAAAACGTCTACTAATCATGCAGGGAGTAAAAGACAAATACGGGGGTTTTCACAAAGTGTCCATACACAGGAGACATGCGTTGGCAAATGCTAGCGCGACAACAGCATCAAACAATCTGAACTAACTTAAAAAGGTGTCGGTTGTAATCAGCTTTTATGCTACAATCTTTTTAATCAGACAATTTGTAAAGTTTATAATAAATAAGTAAATACATATACATACTGAAGAGCGTATAAAAATGGCAGGCGAAGCGTATTTGGTAAAACTTAACTAACCGACCTCAAACGTTACAAACTTAGCTACTGCCAGAAATACAGTTAAAAATGAATACCATTTAATAAGGCCATCCGGTTGTTTTACAACGTAACAGTTATACTAAAGCTAAATATTCGGTTTGAATTTGGTGAACACCAAAGACGCGGTGATTTAAATTAATACCTGTGACTACCTATTCTGGTATGCAGTTAATTTAGCGTTAGCACCAGCAGGCCGAAATAAACTTAACGTTACTAGCGTTAGCCAGGTTAACAAAAGCCTAAAGTTAGCTAAGCTAATGCTGCTAGCGAGCCGTTTAGCTACTAAACCTGAACGTGAAGATAATCTCGCTAGCTTACTGTCCAGACTTCGCGATCATGGTGGAAAAATAGTTGAAGTGTGGTAGCTAAAAGAAATTGTCAGATTGATTAAAAAGAATCACGACAGATTTAACAAAATATCCCCACTGAGTGGCCGTTCGTTTCGGGTTTGCTGTGAGCCGGTGAACTGCTGGGGTAAAACAAACGCCGCATTGAAATATGCAGTTCCGCCATCATCACCATTACCTCCATCTACACCACCAACCTCCATTTTAGCCCGCAAATTACGACACGCAGTTAGCTGGCTAGCTTAGCCGAGCCGAGCACAAGCTAGGGGTCCTCGAGTAACGCTCGCTATTCCCAACTTATTAATAAACGCGTGTTTTTGTTTAATTTAGAACAAAGAAAAATAAAATTAGTTTCCACTCACCTGCTGGTCTAGACCGTGTACATTTTCAACGGCCACATGACTCATAACTAAAGAGTGTTGAGGTGTAATTTCTTTGAGAAAGGGTTTCTTTGTTTGCCGGTATGTAGCTCTGTCCTCCTAGTGCTATTTTATCGACGTCGTTCCGTAGTAACTTTCAAACGGAAAGGTTTACTCAACACGCCAGCTATTAACCACAAGTAAAATAACAAGTACTGGGTTTTTAGTACTATTTCCGATGGATAAAACTAAGGTTTCCTCGTTTCTACGCCTGAACTCGACCTAAGCGTTGCTACAGACTCGGTCTGTGTCCGTGGTGGAATAAGAGCGGAGAGGAAAGCGCATAGTTTTATTGGCCGAGGCACCCACTACGTCACCGTGCAAAAATATCGCGATGCTTGGGATGTAAAGCAGACCAGTGGGGTCTCTCTCTATCACTCAATAATTCTCCCGTTATTAACAACTAGTTTAAGACTATATATGAAGAGTTCTTTCAAATATTTCCCCAACCTAATCTACCGATCCTGTTCTATAGTCTATAGACAAGCAGTGATAGCTTTTTATTTCCACTGTGCACACTTAGCATCGTTCTTAGACAAACTCGCATATAAAATTTAAAGAATTCCAGATTTGACAAAAATAATCTATAAAACCTATTCAATTCAGTCCGTGAGATGTAAACAAGGTCACGATTGGTTTTATGTGAACTGGTGCATTGTAGAGAAATTTACGGATATAGATTTTCTTTAAAGTGGTGCTAATAGACACCAGGGGGTTTGAGTGCTATTTTAACATCTCGCATAACACATCCCATGTACATATATGCCAGGAATAAACAGAAATATATATGTTTTAGAAATATATACGTTCCCAGATTGCCTACCTTAGCAAAGTATCTGCTGAAGAATGCTAGCCATCTCAAAGAGCACATATATTCATTGGCCAATTTTTTTAGGAACACCTACCTTGAGTAAACACTCATTTTTCAGCTTCACTCACGTTCTACAATTACAGACTGTAGTCCACTCTTTCTCTGCATACTATGTTAGCCCCCTTTTATCCTGCTCTGGTATATTCAGAGCAGGTATTATTTGGGTGGTGGGTCATTCTCAGCACTGCAGTGACACTGATGTGGCGGTGGTGTGTTAGTGTGTGTTGAGCTGTTATGAGTGGATCAGACACAGCAGTGCTGCTGGAGTTTCTAAACACCTCTACATCACTGCTGGACTGAATAGTCCACTAACCAAAAATATCAAGCCAACAGCAACCCGTAGACAGCATACTGTGGCCTCTGATGAATGACGAGAGAATGACCAACACAAAGTGTACAGCAACAGATGAGCTATTGTTGCTAACGCTACATCGACAAGGTGGTTCAACAAGGTAGGTGTGTCTACAGAGAAAAGGAGTATAATCTATAATAGATTTCAGAGATAGCTGTATGGTAAGTAGGCCTGATAAGCTGGGAAATGTGTGTGATACAAACTAGTTACATTTTCACTCTTCTGTTGGCTGAGTTGTGGTTTTGTAGGAGCATATGTTCAGGAGATCAGCAAGGCTAATTCTCTGTGTTGTAAGGTTCATCTCATTGAGTGCCACAAGAAATCAGGCAGCACTTTAAGAAAAAGAAAATCACAATGAAAGGCATTTTGGGTGTTGATGCTGTATGTTAACAGTAAGAGATTGTTCCATCAGTTCTAAAAGTTCAAAACACAGAGTACTAACTCTACATAACAGAATTAGTATTTTGTTTCACTAATGCCAGTGTCATACAATGGATACTTTTTATGTGATAAACTAAGCTGTGAAGATCACCTTAAAGCTTGCAACTAACAATATATGGCACAGGCTAATAATTTAAATGCCATTTATTTTTATTTTTTTACTTTTAAAGTATAATTTTACAGTGTGCTGGGTTTGTACAGTGCTCTAAGGCAGATCAAGGAATATTATCCATGCACGTTTCACAAAAAGAGCTTCAGAAGAATTCAAAATTAAACCCAAAAAACAAATCAGAAGGCAAATCTGATCCTCAATAACATTTACAGAAAAAAAGGGGTGACAAAAGCCAAAATAAAAATAAAAAGAAGTTTAACATTGTGAGACCTCTCAGCCTAGGAGGAGGAAGCATTCTTAACAGATGGGCTGAGAGTATGATGATCTGTAGTGCTTGTTTAAGGTGGGCGAGAAGGGAATCACCAATCCGCTGGGTCCATATGGCTTCCTGCCACTCCCTGACAAGTTGGCGGAAACCTTGTGAAGCATTACGGCGCCCTGTGTTACCAAAGATCTGCTGAGATTCTGTAGTTGGGTGTCAGGCTATGACGCCAAGTCTATAGGTCACTGGTTTGGTTTGGGCAGACGTTTTAGGGCAGCCTCCAGCAAATCCATGTATTTTCTACAGAACTCCAGACAATGTGATGCAGTCTACTGAGGAAAAATCCACCAGGAGACAACTTATTTCACAACCATGAGACATTTTGCCGTATTTATGCATGTTTTTTTTTCATTTTACTTTTTGCGTGCATTAGATATTTACAAAATGTACCACAAATGAAACATTAGAAAGCTAATAAAGTTCGCACTGCATTTACATGTTTATTTTTACTTGTAGAGCAATGAGCTTGTTATTGTACTTTTTGTGCAGAGAAAGAAACCTTCAAGTGAAACATGGCTACTATAGCTCCAGAATCAACCTCACGCCATCAGCAAATCAAAAGCTGGCCAGAGAAGGGAGCACGACTTTTCTGTACAGTAAATATCTCCTCGTAAAAATAACAGACATTTTTTCCTTTTAAATCAAACACTGTCTTTGCAAATTCAGCAAAATAACATCTATAAAAGAAAACAGCTATATATAATATTGTGGACTTGATTCATCTTTTGCAAGGTTTTTTTTGGTATTTTAGACAAAAGCATAAAAGAAATCCACAAATTCATGAAATAAATGCAGTACAGTATGTTCTGACGCTGACAAATCCCACAGAATGCTAGTCACAAAGCATCACGCTGAAACTAACTCTCCAACCCTGACAGAATCTCCTTGGACACAGTATTACAGGTAGGTGGCCGGGGGCTCTGACTGTACAGCGACTGGGGAAGTGGCACATGTCCTAGGGGTTGAGTCACAACTAGACGAATCCAAGCTGAAAAGTGATCTTTCCTTTTATTCAACTGCCAAAGTGCTACCCTTCACTATTAGTTTAAATGTTCACTTATTGGAGTGAAAGACAAACGGGGACCGTGGAGATATTGTGCAGCTGAGCAGTCACAATGGCCGCTAATGAGGCCTACGTTATGTTAGAGGTGAAAGTGGCGGCAGGAGAAAAAGAAGAGGGCTGTAGTAGCACGACAGCAGCAGTGTTCAAGATCAAACCCAGAGAAGCGTTCTGTGGCATACTTCAAACTCTAAGCCAGCCAAAGTTACCCCAGTGATATCAAAAAGATTGGTGGAAAAAAAATGCAGAGAAGTGCTTTTAGATCTGCCCATGTTCCAAACCCTCATATTGACACCAAAGTCCAGCCAAAGTCCCCGCAAAGAGTCATTGAAGGGCATCAGATTTTATTAGTCTTAATGCAGTCAGACCAGTGTCCATCAAGACCAAGCAGAGGTAATCTTCTTGCCATCTGAAGCATGAAAACACAACCTCCTCCCCCACGTTCAGTGTCAAGTCTTGTCTGCAGTCCCCCTCCCCTTTATATTAACATTTTGTAATCCAACTGTTTAAAGATCTTGTAGATGATCAAGTCCTGGACACCATCAGAAAATTTGGCAGTTGCTGTTACAGTTGGTGGTTACTTAGTGGTCCAAAATGTATACACACTATGTACACCATCCCCATTACTGCACACAATCACCCCACAGGCTATCCTTCTTTACACAAAGTGCTGTACATAGGCAGCATGTTTATGTGTGCATGTGTTTGTGCACCGAGCTCAGCAGGGCAGTCAGTGTTGAGACTCAAATCCACTCCAGTTTTATCACACTCAATCAGCTGAATCCTGCGACACAGAGACAGGCGGAAGTTAGACATGAGAAGGAAAAAAAAAGGAAGGGGTGGTAACTGTTACAGCTGGGCAGGAAGGAGTAAGTTGAACAACTTGAGTAGAGGTGGTTTAAGAGGGAGCGTGGAGGTTGTTCTGTCCTGGAGAAACGGTGGCAGGTGCTTGTAAGGCCTGGGCATGCCCCAACAAAGCCGTCAGTCAGACGAAGTCGGGACAGGGTTGAGAGGCAAGGCTTGGGGCGGTTGGCTACTCTTTCGTCTGAACAGGGGGCACCTCCTCTGTGCCCTCCCAGCTCTCCTGAGGCCTCTGGGGGGGGCGCTGAGGGTTGTTCATGTGCTGGGCAGCTGGGCCTGTGTAAGGTTGCCCATGGGGGTGGTTGTTTGGCTATGCAGAGAGAGAGAGAGAGAGAGGGAGAGGGAGAGGGAGAGAGAGAGAGAGAGAGAGAGAGAGAGAGAGAGAGAGAGAGAGAGAGAGAGAGAAGGCATTTCTGCACAATTAAATGGCTAAAATGTAAACAAAGTCATTCAGGGGAGTTTGATTTTTCTAGAGAAACTCATGGCTTTGGGATTGTTCACAGCAAGGTAACAGACGTCAAAGCATTAAATTCCTCTAAAAGCTAACATAAGCTCATTATTTGAAATGGTTATGAATGTGCTGCCTTATATGCTGCCTGATACATTGTGTTGTTCTGAGAAAAGAATTTTCTATGGCCTAAAATGTATTGTTTTAAATTCACTTATGGCAGAGAGATACCTGTATGGTGTTGTAGGGCAAAACAGTCCTCAAAAAACTTTTTTTTTTTTAGAAAAAATTCTTAACTTCAATGTATGTTAATTCAACAAAATTTTACTTAGGAGTAATTTTGGAGCATTTCTATCAGTCCATTTGTCATGAAATGTAACTAAACTAAAGGTTAGCTGGTGTCATCAAACAGTGCAAAAAAAAACAAAAAAACAAAAAAAACAAAACAAAAATAGAAGAAGTTATTAGGGCTTGATGGAGAATGCACACAGGTTTCTATCTAGCTACTGAATTGAATTTCAACAACTGGAATGTCACAAAAAGTATGCAAATAAGACTATAATAAAATCTGCTAATTCTGACAATTTCAGCATTTGCCATTACTGTCGACACTTTTTTGGTCAAAATGCATCTAAAAACATGGGCACAGAAACCTAGCCAGTGTACTGTTTACACTGTATCATATTACAAACTTACATTCTAACATGTGTGAACCCCTTCACAGACAAACAGTGTTACCTGTTGATACTGTGTCCCAGGTGAGTGGGGGTAGAGTGCTGTGTCCTCTGGAGGGGAAGAATCATGGTCATCTGGAGCTTCCTGATCATCAGGCTCCTGCAAATCACGTTTAGCTCATTTGTAAATAAAGTATTTAAACAAAATAATAATGGTACATAATCAATACTTCTTACTAAAAATGTGTGTATATATATATATATATATATATATATATATATATATATATATATATATATATATATATATATATATATATATATATACACACACACACACACACACACACACACACAATACAATACTGTTACACACAATACTGTTTTTTATATTGCCAGCTCACCTCCTCAGGACAGAGTTCGCAGGCCTTAGCCAACGTCATCCTGGCACTGTGAGATCGTTCTAGAAAGTAGCCGTTAGAGGTTTCATTACTCTGTACTGGAGGAGACCAGTTGTTGTAGCTATACTGAGGGTTTCCTGTGTATGGCCTCCTCTCCAGCTCATCGCCCAGCCACTCCACTGCCCATGTCCATTTTCTTTTCAAGTCCCCATTACTCTTCAGAGTGAGGAAAAAAAAAAACATGGATGACATATCACTGAAGGGCTTTAAATCGGTGGATTTATTATGCCCACCGGCTCTTTAAAATTTATCTTTTGGAAAACGCTACACGAAAATCCAGGAGGTGACATGAGCCCCTTACCTGTAGGATCTGGTATGCCACAGAGCAGTTGCTGAAGAGAGCCACCATGCATTTGATGCATTGATAAGCCCTCTTCTGATAGTGATTCTTGGAGCGCTGGATGGTATCAAACAGGCCATCCCGGTCATCAGGAATTCCCTTGAGCACATTGTGGATCCTGCAGAAAGTTTGAAGTAAATGTTAAAGTAAGGTGAGGTGCACAAACATATGGAAGCATATCAGAATCAAACTTAAAATGAAAATGTAATATGCAAAATGGCAATGTAAATGTAAAAAGTCTGAATTTAAATTTTCCACTCATACACGCAAGTTTGGACTCAAAACGAAAATTCTAATAATTCCATTTACATTTGCCACCTGGTGCACTAATATTAACATTTAATTTACACAGAGATTTAGATGCGTTTTAAGTAGCTTTATTAGGGTCCAAGCAGGCAAGTGCGTAGGACCCTATTGTTTTTGTTAGAGTTTTCTTCTTCTTCTTCTTCTTTTTCTCCGATAAAACGAATCGCCCAGACCAAACCGCAAGTCCTAGAGACATGAAACTTGGTCAATAGGCAGTAGTCCCTCCCGCTACTCAGACGTGCGATATGAGCCCAATTGGCCTAAAGGTGGCGCTATTGCGCAACACAACGCGTTTGGCCCTTTAACTCCTTCCCCAGATTTTTGACAGACAAGACAATTTTTTCCTGATTCCTTGGGTCCAACAAAATAACTTTGTAATTTGGACTATTAAGCTCTGCCTACTTAGATTTTGGGCTAATATGCAAAAACTACTTTTGCGAACTAGTCCTACAGTTTTCATCCTATCCTCATTTTTTTGGTGTCAAAAAATTCAGAAGAGCCTTAACCTCAATAATTATCTAGCATATTTTTTATTTTCTAAACAATATGGCTGCCATACGCAAATTAATCCTTCTGGAAAAATCGAAATAATTCTTATTTAATTGAAAAATCTGTAACTCGAGAATCCTTCACCAAAAAAATTTGAAACTTGACAGGCTTATTCCTAATGAGACTGCCTATCAATTTTTGTGCACATAGGTCATTAGGGGGCGCTGTAAATGCTACATAGCTGTTTCTCAGGATCCCTACATCCAATCAAGTTGAAACTTTGCAGATACCATCTATTACAAAGACTATAAGTGAATCTTTCAGGACACTTCAAAATATTTAAATTTACGGCCGCCATCAGCCAATAAGCTTTCAGCAGACATTTGACAGGCTTACCATTGGCCAATCCTCTTGATACTTCACAGCTATCTCTATCTCACCACCTTCTAACAACCTTTGAAGTTTCAAAATATTTGGCCATTGGGGGGTGCTATTAATGAAAATCATTTTTTCAAATTGTACAGATTTTCCAAACCATTTTGTCATTAGAAGTCTATTAAAAAAGTGCATAGTTTTTTTTCAATCGTTAATTGTTTGAAAATAGCACTTTTTGAACTAGTCCGTGGAATTTCAAGCTAAATTCTCAAAACAGGTCGAGAAATACTCTGTAGCCTCTCTAGGTAAATAATTATCCAGCACATTTTCAATTTTTTGCTCATCGTGGTCTCCCTCCATCACTAAATCATTGCGGCCATAGCATTGCTAGCTTTAATTGCTATAGCTCATCAGTCATTGGTCCGATCATCTCAAAATTGTATGCATATCTATTCATTGAGACTCTGATGTGGAATGCAAAATTTGATCCTGATTGGCCTATAGGGGGCGCTTTAGCACTGAAAAACACCTAAAATCTTTAAAAATGTTCTTACAACAATACTACAAAGTCTACAGATACATAAGAGGGGTCTTTTGATTCAGTTCATGGATCTGAGTAACTTTGTAATTACATGTTATGTCATAAATTGTACTCCTTCTCTGGTATTTTGAATTATTCATTTAAAGACTACAGCTTATTATACCAAGGTCAAAAGCTCAATCTGAACAAAACTCGGTGAACATCTTTGATGAATGTCCCTGATCAATTTTCATAACATGTGGAAACCTTTGAACCAATTCTGACCCACTTTCACTGAGGTCCTTTATGCTAAAAGGGCCCTTATGGGTCCATTGGGTCTCATTATGTCATGCTTATCAAAGGCTTTAACATGGAGAAACAAAATACTTTGCAAATGCAACAAAGACAGAAATTTTACCATTACTCGTATTCCTTCAAACCTTTGTAGATCAGTAAATTGAAATGTAAACATATATTAGGTTTAAAGCCCCTTGCATTGTTCATGACAAATGAAGGTCTTTAGATTAACTCAGACTTCTTTTCAGCCTCTCTGCCTCGAAGGCCCAAACTGCGTTAGGCCTTATTAGGCCTATTAGGCTCAAAGTGCATAAGAGCTTCTTGGGCTTATGCGTGCTTGGACCCGCTCATTGCCGCTTGCGGCTATATTTTAAAGTAAAATTTTTTCCAGAATTGCATATTCATGCTTTATGTGATTACGCAGTAATGGTGTCAAAATGGTAAGTAATATGTAATTTAACTTGTATGCATTTGCGCTCTCTGATAATTTTTTTGAAGCTGCATTATTAAAAGAGAACAACAAGCTAGAACGATGTCAAAATTCAAATGTAAATGGGAAACAGTGCCTCTCCTTTTTGCAATTACATATTCTCACCTATTACACTCACTGTGTCAAAATGTCTTTAAAAATGCATTTGACCAGATTGCAGTTTGATTTTCATGGACTTCCCAACCTGTTAATCATCCCGACAGGTTGGACCCAACAGAAGAAACAGCAGAAAAGGTTTTTTCTGGACCATTGCAGCCAATCTTAGAAGATGAAATGATACAGAGCAATAGATCCACTTGAAGTTTATGTCTTTATATAAGAATCTTTAATCAAACGTTGCAGATTTTTCTGATTTAATAAGTGGGTCGAAATCATTGTCTGTGTTAGCTGACCATAAGCTACAGATATTGATTCATCCAGCATCAAAGTCTAACTTCTAACGTACACCGTGTTTGTATATTTTCCCATGTTCCACTTTATCTGTTACCAAAAATGTACTCCTAAAATGATTTTGTTGTACTGGTACACATCAACATGTGTAAAACACACAACCACCTTGTCACAGTGGCTGAGTTGGCAACAGCTGCTGTACTATGTCCCAGGAAACACACAGTTAATTTGCCACAGTGCTGTGACAACCTATTGTTTTGGTGCCCACAACACTGTCATAACGTTGGGATGTAATTCCTCGGAAAATTGTGACAATGTTATCTGCCAACATTGTAACAACGTAATGGCAAAATTGTCAGTACGTTGTCACAACCTCCTAGAATCCTTATACGTTCCTGAATAATGAGGTTGTGACAACACTGTGACAACCTTGTTCAGACAATGTAAACAGCACCACCTCATGACAACGTTGTAGCATATATCTACCTCTGGTGCTCACTTCGTAGAAGACATTTCTTCATGGCACTTTTAAAAAAGCAACTATTACCGATATTACCGATACCAATATGATTTCAATATCATTGTGCATCCCTAGTAAAGACCACAAGCTGCGTAGCATTGCTTCTTGAATATACTAACTTCACATGAGATGGGAAAAACATTCTTAGCATTTAATGCAAGTTAGCGTAAAGATATTTTATTTCCTCTGGTCCATTCATCATGAAATTTACAACAATTTTTTTTGACAGTGACAATGGGCTTCAATTGCATGCATGCGTAATGCTCACCTATGCGTCTGCCATGAGTCCTCAATCAGCAGGATCTGGAGTAGGAGGTCCAGATAAGGCCTCAGCTCATAAGTATAGGAGTATGCCACCTAACACCACAAAGCACAGACCAAAACTTCCTAATAAGTTATTCTTAATGCCATCAGGGGACACTAAGACACATTACAACAAGCTGTCTTGGGTGCCTCACAAAGAGACATCTTAAAGATAAGTGCCTGACAAACCTGCCACAGAAGTTCACTGAGTACGGTGGAAGAGAACTGAGGGTTCTCCCAGCAGCAGAAACGCAGCAGTTTGACTGTCTCCTCAGAGTTACTGCAGTCCTCAATGATCTTCTTCACATAGCTTGTGCGCACGAAAAGTATTTCTGCCACCAGCTGCTGAAGAGGCATTATGGGGGCCGTGAGGTTGGAGTCACCATAAGGGTTCGGAAGAGCTGGATTACCTGAAAGGCAGGAGTGGGACAATCTGTATCAAAGACTGAGACTGTATATATACACACATTATATATATATATATATATATATATATATATATATATATATATATATATATATATATATATATATATATATACACACACACACACACACACACACACACACACACACACACACATATATATAGTTTAGGATAGCTAAAAACAAAAGTTGTTATACAAAGACATAATTATGAATACTTTGCAATCCAATACCTTTATTACGGTAAACAAATTACTCACCGTTAATTGAGGACTGCATGCGCGATGACACATCACAACATCGGACCAGCTGAGACACAACTGTGTACAGCTTGCCAAGCTCTGCATACTGGTACTTAATGGGGGGACCAGGACCCTCATCCAGAGCGACCAACATGAATGTAGCTGGAACACTCAACTTCAACAGCTGCGTCTTCTCTGCCAAACCTACAGTGCCCAAAATCAGACGTTCAATCATCGTTTTCCTTTACTATTTCAAATACGTTTGAATATTGTTTAAAAAAACAGCTGAAAAAAAACCTATGTTCTCTCAAATCTACATCCAGCTCTTAAATGCTTACCCAGGTTGGCATACATGACAAAGAGGTTGAAGTACTGCTGAAGGTGACGTCCATGCTCAGACACTTCCCTCCTCAGCAGGTTAAGTACTGCTCGCAACAGGTGATCACTCAGGGTCAGATTGTCACAGGTCTGCAGTCAAAAGCAGGAAAAGAGGGTAGAGGAAGTTAAAATAAATAAATAAATAAAAATCTTTATCTGACATACACAGGTCCTTATTCCTTAAAGTTGTGTACGGACAAATCTGACTGCAAAAATTAGCTCAAGTGTCACAGACAGCTTTGTTATTCATCGTCTTTGGCACATCTGTGTGATCATACCTGGGTTTAACAACCTGAACTTGATTTGTCTTTAATTAACCAAAATGATCAATATAATCTCTAATACCAATGCTAAGAATAAAAAAAAGAAATAACAACAATAATTTGTGCAAATGGCAATCCAGTACAAAAGTGGATGTACTTATTTTACATGCAGAGTGGTATAAACAAATGCTGAAAACTATTTAAAGAAATATTATACTATGCTTTTGTTTTATACTACTGACACCGGTCAAAAAATGACTAATACAAAAACCAGCCAGTACAGCCTCTCATATCAGAGACTGGTGAAGCCTCTAATACACTGCAGTAATACAGGGCTTAAAATGTATTTTAGGAATACAATCACATCATTCTGCTGACTTAAAAAAAAAAGACATTCTGTGTATTTCATATTTTATTCTTTCCAGTAGTCATAATTTTTACTTTGTAATGTTTGGTCAGTAGGGAGAGCAGTGCACTCACTACTCGACCACAAGCTCTACCGAGCACAGGCACTGACCCACAAGCTGCTTGAATGGTGTCGTTTTAGTGGCTCACTACTGAAACATCTGCATGAATTGGGGTGTGATTAATGTAAATGATATATAAATTTAGTGCTGGTGGGCTGGCGCTTGATTTCATGAACTGAAGCTGATTTATGATTTGCCCTCAAATGTCCGCTTCTTCATACACTGTATGGAAGTTTCATGAATCAGACGCAGAGAAGTTCATATACATCATAAAATCTGCGCTGTTTTACACAACTTCGATGAATAAGGGCCACTGTATTTAGATCTCATTTCAAGTCTGCTGATGTTAGCATCTCACTGCTTTTTAGACATTCTGTAACAGCTTCTATGTCTCTTCAACCTTGTGACTGACCTGCGTGGAGGACCCTGGTGAGGTAACAGGAGCGGGGCATGGTCCATCCTGTAGCGAAAAGTGTGCAATGAACACTATGAGTTTGGAGAAGGCTCCTCGGACCTCAGCGCTTGGACACTCCAATAAATACTCAGAGAACCGTGTGGGGAAGGCAAAGAGGACGTTGTGTGCAAACCAGCTGCGGACATTCTTGCTGTGACGCAATAAGATGCACAGGGCATCGTACCTAAACAAAGAAAACAGAGAAGGGGGTGACTAAAATCATAATCAAATTAATCTTTCTGAAAGACCATAGAAACGGCCAAAACTGTTGCTGCATGGACACCATAGTATGTGAGCAGAGCGGCACAATTTTGCCTAGGGCACAGAAAGTTGGAGCATTACTGTTCTCTCTCACTCCAAAATCGCTTTTGTTTACTCTTGGCCGTTTTCTGGCTTATGACTGGGCCTTGTTCCAAGGCCATACCTACGGAAAAAAGCCTGTGTAGCACTAAACTAGTGTTTCATTTAGTAACGGCCATAAAACATAATTCATGAAATGAAGCGCATAGTATCTTGTCCGTACATTCAAGATATAAAATAAATATCAAAGGAATTAATCACAAGGAGCTGACATGGAGCTTAGTTATTACAGAATGCTTTGAACAAAAAAAGCAGAAATGGCTGCTGCTCCACTCCACTCACATACTCTAATGCACATGCATACTCACCAGTCACTAGCAGGTCCTCGGACTACTTTCTTTGTGTGGAATCCTGTGCTGAACAGGAATCTAGCAGCAAGCTGAATACTAATCATTGCTATTTCTTCAGCTTCAGGTAGTAGGTGATCTTGACCTTAAATTGGAAACACCTGTCCATTATACACAGCAATCATACACAATCCAATACAGAAAAATATGACCTGCACATCACAGATGGATACATTCTTAAGAGGCTTGTGTCTTCAAGCTAGGAATATAAGTCTAAAGACAGACAAGTGACATCAAAATCTTTCAAGTTCCTACCTGGAGGAGGGTTCAGGTACACACTATTGCAGGTCAGTAATTTTTTGATGAACTGGAAGTACTCTAGGCTGTACTGCATGCGGCTGTGCATGAACTGTACATTCTGCTTGCGCACACTGCACTCGATAGCTGAGGGCATTTTGAGCTGGTGAGGCTTCGGTGTAAGCGTTAGCTCAGCTATATACTTTAACAGCTCGCTGTCGCCCCCAGCTGTGTCCATGCGCTCATAGAAAAGTATGTAAGCATTCCACCAGCGCTTCTGCCGGCGGTACGACATGCGCTTCATCATGTGGTCAAACACTTCGCCCATGTACTCTCCACCGAAGCACTGGTTCTTCATCTCCTCGTCATCATCCATTTTGCACTCAGTGACGTCGCCATCATCGAACTTGTACCAGCGATCCCGCTGGCCATCACTTCCATCGCCATGCCGTTGGACAATGTAGGAGTAGTAGTGTCCACCGCTAGCTTGGCCTGAGTGCACCAACACACCCACCAGCCGATAACGGGAGCTTCTGCCTGACTCCGACTCTAAAGGTGGGTTCTGATGGATGACCTGACTCTCCGGAGACAGCTCGTCACCCTCCAGCTTAGCGACACCCGCCACTGTGTATGGCTCCATGTCGAGTTCACGTGGGAACTCGAAGTAGTCATTGAACTTTATGGCACACTCACGTTCCCAGTCGTAGTCGAAACGTTTGAGCTGGATGGCCAGTACTGGGGGAAGCTTCTTAATCAAGAGGCGTTTCACTGTATCAACCTATAGACCAAAACAAAAAAAAACAAAATACAAAAACAAAGTTTGTCCCTCTGTACATCAGCAAAAACAAGAAGTGACAGCAAGAAAAATAAATAAAAAAAAAAGATATGGCTTTTATGTGCACTCTTTCAGTACCTTCTTGTTGCATTTTTCACAGTGGTAAGCATTGGCTCCTTCCAGCAAGTCCCCTTTGACATACTGTTCCATGGAGTCTAGGAGGTTCTGATGGTTCCTGATGTCTACATTCAATGTGGTGAAGGACTCTTCACACTCATACCTAACAAAACATGAATATAGCCTCAGTTTCATCCCCTCTCAAAATTTCAGAACTACACAGACAGGAAACTGGCTCTTACACAGGCATCTCTTACCTGTGAGGACATCCCTGGCAGATCTTCTGGTCTGCAAATGAGCCACCCAGGACTCTGCTAAGCATGCTGGGATGGCCAAGAGCCTTCAGTGCCTCGTCCAGGCTGTCCACGAGAGAGTTAAAAAACTCAAGGGCATCGTGTTGTTCCCTCAAATTGACTGGTTCCCCCCATAACCTGTAAGTTGTTATGAGAAGCTGAGTAACTTCCTTTGACCCAAATTTATTATAAAAGTCTATGGTGGTAATGCAGGACAACTTCAAGAAGAGAGAACTACTTTCCCCAAATACAAAAAAAGAGGCCATACTAGCTTTGTTACCTGAACTGCTTCCAGAAGCCTCTGGGTACATAATACTGCAGTTGGGATGCAGCAAGATGGCCAAAGATGACCTGCAGGTGGCGCAGCACTCCAATGTTGTACTCCTTGCGGTCCTCAGCCTTATTGAGAGAGGGCTTGTCATCAAACTGGTGGTGATAACTGAACACTTCATCCCTTGGGTCCACATTACTCTGCAGCACAATAATAGGTTATGACTGGACAAGAGGTTTGGAGGCTCAAAGTTTTCATTTGGGAGGGGCAAAAAGATTAAAAGCATGCAGAGATGCTGCTTCTCCAAATGCTGTGATGGCTAAATACAAGTAGTTTTCTTTGGTCTCTGTGGTGTCTTAAATGGCCACCAAGTTCTAACTCACTGAATGAAAACGCAATTTAACATTAGTTACTTTGCATGTGCAACTTATACCTCGCTATCCTGCTTTTCGTCTCCAGACATATCATCATCCACATCACTGCCAGTGCCCTCAATGGCCAGAATGCCATTTCGGATTGGGGGGATCATGTACAACTGCTGGATCACTGAGTTCATGTAGCACGTGGCTCCTGCGTTCTTCAGGCCTACAAATCCTTTAGTGGGTCGCGGCCCAACAGGTGGGAGGTACTCCCACTCTGTAAGAGCCTCACAACCTGAGGGAGAGAGATCAGATGTTTTTAAAAATGATCATCATTTATATAAATCCTACAAACCCTGCCAACCACACATACATGGTAAAATGGCCATACATGTGCCTTTAGTATCTGTGGTTAACATTCTTTCAATTTGAGACTAATCAGCTCAGAAACTAAAATTTGAACACTTTACACCTTGCCAAGAACAGTCATCTTAAAACATCTGAGACTGAACTAAACACTAATTCAGTGTTTTCCACTGTTTCTGCTTCTCCTAGAAGTTGTGTTTTGACACTGATCCTCTCCTTAAAAAAATAATCTTCAAACTGATAATAAATCAAAAGCAAAACTTCAATTAGTCAGTAGTCTCAGGTACATGCCTTGGTAGTACATTTCTGTGAGCGTGTCCACAATCTGCTTCAAATTGCGTACACATCCCACAGCAAGGGCCACAAGCAGCTCAAAGCCAGCATTGATTGTAGCAGGACTACTGCACACTGGGATTGCCTGTTCGGCAGGGAACTCCCCAGTCTTCACATACTGCAGGTAAACATTAGATGCTGGGAAGATGAAATCATCTATCAGCTCCTGCAGAGGAATGGGAATGACAATTACTACAAGATGTTTTACTGTAATGTCTGTTTTATAACGAATATCCACCGGGAACAGAAAGTTTTCAGAGCCAACAGGATATGCGGCTCACCTTGATGAGGTTTGCTCCACCCTTCTCACAGCCAATGCAGAATTTCTTCTCAGGGGATTGGAAAGCCAATAGTTCCTTGGTGACCCCCAGGTGACCTTCTAGAATAGTCTCTTCCACCCCAGTCTCCCCTGTTCTCTTCACCTCATCCTGGTGGACATAATCCATATAAACAATCACAACAACATGGAAACAAACATTATTTTTTTGAGAGTCAGTGCTCACTATTGGATTTATATAAAGCAATTCTAAGCAGACTGGGTGAACGCACCCTGATTCTCTTCAGCCAGTCAATCTCATTGTTGAGCAGGACCTCAGCGTTGGGCAGGTTGATGTTGCTGTTGTATGCATAGTTGAGTAAGTGCCTCAAAAGGGTAAAGTAATCACCTGCATGCTTTGCTCTTTCCTTTGCAGTGCTCTGGAAAAAAATAGCGATGTACCAGACGGTGTAAGAAACATACACTTGTTAGAAACAAAACACATTGTGAATTTAACACTTTTGAAAGTCCCAGTTGAAAACAGAATACAAACCCTGCAGCAACCACATATTAGCACTCCTCCTATAATGAATCTAACAATACTATTAGATTAACTATACTATATTATAATAATTGTCTTAATTAAATGTCAGTACTCACTCCCAGAACAGTAAAGAGCAGGGTAATGAAAAAGAGAAGAGGTCGGTGGCCCATGCAACACCTGGTGGCCATGAGGAAAAACTGCTCCTGAGCCATCTGACGGACCAACCTGGATAAACACAGTGCATGACTGAAAAACAGGTCCCACTCAAGAAACATTAGGCAGTACTACATAGGCCTGGGCTATGGTGCGATGTAATCGGATATTAGCAATTATTATGCTGATGACTATGCTTCAACATATAGTGGCAGTGTTGGGAAAGAGAACTCACAGAACTAAATTACCTTTATGAACAGCTTTCTAAATAATATTAAATAATATGTATATATATAATGTTTAATTCTCTTTTACTGTTAAAGGGTCACCTGTCCAGGGTGTATCCTGCCTTTCGCCCAATGACAGCTGGGATAGGCTCCAGCACCCCACCGCGACCCAAAGGGATAAGCGGTTTAAATTATGTGTGTGTGTGTGTGTGTGTGTGTTAAAGTGTCCATATAATGATTGTTTTTTCCTCGCTTTCTTATAAAAAATTAAATAAAAGGATAACGAAGTATGTACAGTGCCTCCAAGTAGTATTCAACCCCCTACAGATTTTGCAGGTTTGCACAGTTGGAGTTAACTTAGCATTGTGAAATTTGGACTGTAGATGGGCCTGGACATGTGAAATGCACTGCAGAAAAAAGGATGTTATTCCTCTGTTTATTAATTTGTAAAAATTTAGCAAAGTTTACCAGAGGGTCAATTATTATTCAACCCCTCAAACCACCAGAATTCTGTTTGTTCCCTCAAGTATTAAGAAGTAATTAAGGTATTAAGAACAATGAGCTTCACATGTTTGGATTAATTATCTGTTTTTTCCCACCTTTTCTGAATATAAAAGCCCCTGCCCAATCAAGTGAACAGCACTCATACATGATCAACATGGGAAAGACTAAGGAGCATTCCAAGGCCATCAGAGACAAAATAGTGGAGGGTCACAAGGCTGGCAAGAGATACAAAACCCTTTCCAAGGAGTTGGGCCTACCTGTCTCCACCGTTGGTAGCATCATCCGTAAGTGGAAGGCTTATGGAACTACAGTTAACCTTCCACGGCCTGGACAGCCTTTCAAAGTTTCCTCCCGTGCCGAGGCCAGGCTTGTCCGAACGGTCAAGGCTGACCCAAGGACAACAAGGAGGGAGCTCTGAGAAGATCTCATGGTGGTGGGGACATTGATTTCAATAAATACCATAAATAACGTACTCCACTGCAATGGTTTCCGTTCCAGACGAGCCCGTAAGGTACCTCTACTTTCAAAGCATCATGTCAAGGCCTGTTTAAAGTTTGCTCATGATCACTCTGAGGCAGACTGTTTCAAGGTTCTCTGGTCTGATGAGACCAAGATTGAGGTTTTTGGTGCCAACCACACCCAGGGCGTTTGGCGAGAGGATGGCACTGCATTTGACCCCAAGAATACCATCCCTACAGTCAAGCGTGGTGGTGGCAGCATCATGCTGTGGGGCTGCTTCTCAGCCAAGGGGCCTGGCCATTTGGTCCGCATCCACGGGAAGATGGATAGCACAGCCTACCTGGAGATTTTGGCCAAAAACCTCCGCTCCTCCATCAAGGATCTTAAGATGGGTCGTCATTTCATCTTCCAACAGGACAACGACCCCAAGCACACGGCCAAGAAAACCAAGGCCTGGTTTAAGGGGGAAAAGATCAAGGTGTTGCAGTGGCCTAGTCAGTCTCCTGACCTTAACCCAATTGAAAATTTGTGGAAGGAGCTCAAGATCAAAGTCCACAAGAGATGCCCAAAGAACCTAGACAACTTGGAGAAGATCTGCATGGAGGAGTGGGCCAAAATTACTCCAGAGACCTGTGCTGGCCTGATCAGGTCTTATAAAAAACGATTAATAGCTGTAACTGCAAACAAGGGTTATTCCACAAAATATTAAACCTAGGGGTTGAATAATAATTGATCCTAATTTTTATGTTTAAAATGTATTATAATTTAATTGAGCAACTTATATTTTTTGTTTGTAATATTTAGGCATCCGTTAATAAATCCTACTCTTGTTCAGAGTTTGAAGGCTCTAACTTATTTGCAACTTGTTGAACTTGCAAAATCTGCAGGGGGTTGAATACTACTTGGAGGCACTGTAAATACTGCCAATGTTTCAAAATGTATTATTCGCTAACAGGTTTATAGAGTTCATTTATCAGGGCTGTATGTAACATTTTTAAGCATAAAGCGATGATTCTACCAAAGCTGCAAATATAGAACAAATTGTAATTTTAACTGTGGAAAAAACAGAAGCAGTGTGTAAAAAGTTTGTATTTTGATGGTCATTTTTTTTAAATGTACAGATAATTAATTTTGTCCCGAATAATCCAGATTTCCATTAGGGGCACTATTAGTACTTAAGCACATTTTTTCTGCATGTTTGAGCACGAGGAAACAGCAGTAATGCTTGTATGGTTGTCAAATTTCAAAACGAAACAAAATAGTTTTGTGTTATTTAAGCATATGTGATTTTTAATTTAGTCCACTTACCCTTGGAAAACAAGCTAAAGATAGTAAGTAGGCTACACATAGGTAAGGCAGGAGGGGTGTCTCAGCTCCTCATTACTGAGATGCCTTTGGGAGGATTCAAATCTGAACTCGTTGCTGGATTTCAATATGATATTAAAGCCCTAAACTAATCAACCTCTCGGCAATTCGTTAATTGTAAGGCCCTTTGTTTACAAACATCTCGCCTTGATCTCCACTATAGAAAATTAACTGAAGGACTACAATTACCACAAACTTCAATTTAACCTGCATCATAGCTCGAGCTATAAAACATCAATCTCATAAAGTACAAATACAGAACAAAAACATCATTAAAGCAACATTCAAAAAAGAGTATATAGACAGTAATTTTAAAAACAAAAAAATATATACATTTTGCAAAATAACACAAAACTTATGAGCAAAAGTATGTATGCATCAGTAGTACTGACTTGCTCTGGCAGTGCAAAAGCAGGTCAATGATGAAAGTCTGCCAAGCCTTTTCCTTGCTGAGTGTGTCCAAGGCTGTGGGCATGAGAGCGAAGCACAGCGTCATGGCCTCCAGAGCCTCACAGCACACCTGCTCGTCCTCTGCATCCGGCTCATTACCTGCATTAGTCTGCAAAACACTGCTGGTTAGAGCATGTCTGACTGCATGGCTGTAACTTTGGAGATAAAGTAGACAAACCGAACATTCTTGCTGTGATAAAACTCATTTAGGGTAAAGAGAAATTATGAAGTAAATTTGAGAAAACTCTGGAAGAGAGCTGTTCCTTTTCCTTAAGGTGTTTTTACCTTCTCATAGATCTTGCTGATCTCCTCATTGGAGCTGAAGACCAGCTGAACGCTTCCACAGCCTGACGCCCACACAATCTTCTGTACTGCCCGTATTACACAGATGTCTGGGATGTACTTTGAAGCCTGGAAGAAATTCTGAGATTTGTGCAACAATATGGGAAATTGTTCAGACTATTTCATTTTTTAAAACATTCGCATAAACTTAGGGTCTGACAGATCGTATAATTTCAATATGAAAGCTCAAATACCTCATCTGAGATCTGCTGGGCCAGTCGAATAGCTACATTGCGCAGCATGCACTCGGAGGCAGGGTTGGGAATGTTCTGGAGAGCATTTTGAAGCACCAAAGCTTGGTCATGAGTTGCCTGATTTATCTGAAAGACATGTAAAAAGCTGATTACAAAGGTGCTTTCATTTTTAGTAATATGTTGTCTTTGAAAAAAGCACAATGATCTCTCTTACTGGCGATGCAGGGTTGGTTCCCTCTACCACAGGTTGGCACGCCTCTGCCACTGCTTTAACATGCCCAAAGCCAATGGCAGTCAGCAGGAGCTTAGCGATCTTCAGGGCGTTCAGGTAGGCTCCACGGCGCGTCTCCATGTCAGCATTTGGCAGAAAGTTGTTCCTTGTAAGCATGCCGAGTACTAGAGGGAGACCTCCACTCTTCAGGAAGTTGTACTGGAAGTCACTGGCATCTTCTCCTAGAGTGCCACTGGCTGGCATCAGAAGAGCATACACAACCTGGCACAAAAAAACACCAGACAGGGTTTAAACAGCAGTCTCCCCCTGTCTTCAATACACACACACACACACACACACACACACACACACACACACACACATATTGGTATCATCACAGTATTACAGTATCATACTTAGCATCACACCTCAGTGAGGTAGAGCACTTGTGACGGGGAGGGTCCGAAGAATCGGGAGTCTAGCGTGGGGCTAAGGCTGTTCTCTCCCAGCTTGGCGTGATCCAGACAAATCGCTCGCAGGTTCTCCACTGTAGTGTTATCTACAGACAAATAAATTCGGTATCAGTGACTGTATTCCTATAATGATTTGGTTCATCATGACACATTTAAAAACATAGCTCTAGATAGAACTGTATTGAATAGAAACCTGGAGGTATGAGCTTCATAAGGACCCTGGCCCCATCCCGTAACAGAGGCATGTTTAAAGTGCAGCCCAAATCAGCAACTTGCCAGAGGAATGAGATGTACCGCAGGTGCAGCGACATGATCTGAGGATTAAAAAGACAGTGTTGTCATTGTAAGTAGGGACGAACAAACAAATTATTATTTGACCAATCCTATCAGACAAAAAAGAAGGTTAAATGAATTTTATTTAATTTCAAACAACAGGTTCTATTTGAAAAAGTGGGTTAATCATTCAAGTTGACAAATACTTTTAAATTTTACACATAAGGGAGCAGCAAACAATTGGTTCCGCTAGATAGGCCCAAATGTGCAGCAAAGATTAGGGGTGTTTTTGACAGGACGATAGCACAACAAGCATGTACCATATCAAAAGAAAACATCCCTAAGCAATAAGACAGACAACTATTTTGTCCAGGTTCTCTGAGAGATCGGGTGTACAAAATTATAAAGACATGGTGGACGGTGGCTGCTTGTCCTAGTAATGAGTGGTAAATATAACTTTGGAACTTTAGAATATAGAACTTCATTCAGCCCATTACTGTGTATTCCAGTCACTTCAACTTTTTAATTGTTTAAGTGTGGTCAAATAATCATGAACACATAATAGCTGCCAGCCCATGAGCTTAAAGGTTCTTACATAGGGTATGTTTAATATAGTGTCCATTTACTTCATATACAGGCTTATGCCTCACCCCAACTATTAGTACTATGAGCCTAGGTCCACACAAGAAACACTTGTTAATATCTTTGTTCTTTAATTCAGAATACAGCTTGTGTGTACGTGCAAGTGGGCATGTATCAAGTATTTTACAATGGCTTTGGCCTGTTTTATGATTGATATTTTGATAGGTTCTGGATTTTAGACTTCTTAGTTAACGATTAATAGCTGTTTAACTTCATCCATTGATATGACATGAAAAATTCAGCCAACCTCATATTTCATTTTTAAATAGTTGGCATTCCACCATGTAATCCAAACACAGGTAGCATCATACCGCTCAAATGCATCCAGAGACTCTGCTTTGTAGGCAGTTTATGTAGTGCTGAACAATCACCGTTTAAGATAAGTTAGCTCACCACTCCAGGTAGGCAACTCTCCACCTCCGGGTTGGGCCCATCGCTGTAGTGATTGCCATGGTTACCAGGTGACCCCGTGGACGAGTCAGAGGAGCTGTCAGGACTAGAGGGCATGTTGGAGCTAACCTGGGTCAGTTTCGCTGTGATCAGCTACAGGTAAGAAGGGAGTGGAAGCAAAACAGCATGACAAAGAGGGGAAAAAGGGAAAACTTAGTTTGACACATTCAAAAGTACAATGCTCATTTCAGAGTCTTTGTTATGTGCTGCTCACAGTTTTGTCTTTAAGGTTGAGCTGTCCAATCAGCTTGCGATCATCTGCTGGGTCCACAATCTCTCCTCCAATAAAAAGCTCGATTTTGGTGTGTGTGCTGTTGGCTTTGATACGGTTGAGGATGCAGCGACGCACAGAGCCAATCGTGTCATTGGTGTGAGACCAGATGTCCAGGTCATCCACCTGCCGGCCCTGGTTAGGAAACCGCACCACCAGGGTGATGTGCTTCCCACGAAACGCCCTGAATGACAGCAAGCAAAAAAGGGGTTACAAGCCATCATAAAAACCTTTAGCATGATTTTTGATGCATTTGAGTGTTGAGGAGACTCGGCCACAACAGCTTAACATTAGTTTTCAGATCTGGATCTTTTTCACAAAATCATGTTACAGATGCAAATCCTACATTAAAGAATTATATCTTATGTTACAGCATCTTATCTCAAGTTAGGAATTCTTAATCCATACAATCAAGGACAAATTGTGTCTGTTACTAAGCAGCTAACAATCCATGCACAACTGAGAAAAACACCTAGTCAGAATGAAGTAAACATGCTTGTCATAGTTGCAGATAACAAATTAAGTAACCTTGATCAAAACTATAGCACTTCTCCCTGTTTCAGTTTCCATTTCCAAAATGCCAAGTAGTCTCTTTTCACCAGTGTGTGTGCTGTGCTAATTCTCCTAATTAACAGCCACATGTTCAACTCCATCTTCCCTTTATTCGCCGCCATTGCCACAATATTTTATTTAGCAAGTATTGAACATTAAGACATATAGGCAATTAAAGGAAACTGAAGTCAGGACATGAATAGGGGATGTCCTAGGAAATTTCTGTAAGTTAGATTGCTTCTGTCATGCTGATCTGGAGTTAGAACAAGATAATGAACTTTAAAACATCATTGTGTCATAGCCACCGTCCTAACCAAAGTTGTCATATTGATTAAACAGATAAGATTTCACAGTTAAGATGTTTCAGTAACGCAGCCCCAAGTTTCCAAACAAGTTGCTTATAGCAAAAATATCATAGCAAGCTGGCAAAACAAGATTAGCCCACCTAGACATGGGAAGAATGGTCCGCTCCTCATGATAGTCGCTATCACATTCATTAATGTATTCTTTAAGCACAGTCAGCACCCTGACCATACGAATTGCTTCTTGGCGAGCACAGTTTATGCTGTCCTTGTCCCCATCCAACACACAAAGCGTGTCATACGAGGCCTTCAGACGGTCAAAACAGGACTGGATGAAGTCTTCATGGATCTCTACCTGTGAGAGGCACAGGGTATCTTTAAATTACCAGTTCCTTTTAAATATACGATAGAGGCATAAAAAGGGCCAGGGATTTACCTGATTGACTTGTAGTTTTGGTCCAAGGTTGGTGTAAATCTCTTTCAGCAAGTCTATTGCACGAGTGGCAATGTCGTCACTCCCTTGAATCACAACCTGTGCAACCATAACAAACAAAGAGCACATTAAAAAGTTGGCTGTGTTTTTCATATCAGAGATGGTCTGAATATTTATGCCTGGCCTTCATCCAAACACTGCTAGTACCGATTCCAACATTAAGCTTCTGCATGTGCATGGTGTGACACGATTAACTAAATAAATAACACCTTCTTACCCTCCAGAGGTAGTCGAGGCCAATGAGTTCTAGATCGTCCATCATGTATGCCCTGCGCTTCGCTACTAGCTTGCCCTCCCTACAGTTCACTGCTTTAAAGAAGCGTTCAAAGCACTTCATCCCGTTCTCTGTCAGAAGTGAGGGGTCCAGCTGTAGCACATTGTTCTCAAAGAAGTCCTTGTTGATGTCCGGATCAAGGTCAGGCTCATCACCCATGAGTTTAGAGTACCATTTGAAACAAGCTTCTCTGTCACAGAGGAAGACTGCGTTCTCTGCCAGGCACTTCCAGATCTGCTTAGCCTGAGGAGCGCACAGCCACAGCTGCCCATCCTTCAGCAGAAACCTACATATTGAGAGGTTAAGGAATTTCAAAGAATTAGTTACAGCAAAAGTATTAAGCATGTTAGAAATCTCTCAAGGCTCTCGTTATACAAGACAAACATTTACCCTGAAGCTCATGATGGAGTAAAAAGTCCATATTAACTCAAAAACTGCTACGAGCATAACTATAAAGCAATACATTTTCATTACTTAGAATGAGTACTCAGAACCACCAATTTCCAGAATAGTAAAATCTTACTCTAATAAATTTTAGTGGTGTACAAGTTTCAGACTGTTATTACAACACAAGGTAACTTTCTCAGCATACCCAGGAAGATGAAAAAGTTCACACTACAGGATATTCACCCCCAAAATTCTTAAAATATGCCTAATGCTGGCCTTACACCAAGCGACTTTTCAAGCGATTTCTCTGTCGCAGACAAATTTCCATGTCGGGATAAAATCATGAGAGTCTTGCTAGAGTTGCATCGCGCTCGCGTCAATCTCGATCGTTTAGTGTAAGGTGGTCAAGATGGTGGTCTTAAGTCAGTCCTTTTCTCGTCTTGACGCTGCGACAAAATAAACCGTGTTTAATATTCTCCTAAGTTTTAAGTCTTGGCTCATGCAAATAGTGCCGAGCCAGGGACGTGCGTGAGTGCTTGCAGGCGAGCGCATGCAGGCGGTGCGGTAGAGGTAGAGAGGTAGAGAGAGAGAGAGAGAGGTAGAGAGAGAGAGAGAGAGAGAGAGAGAGAGAGAGAGAGAGAGAGAGAGAGAGAGAGAGAGTACGTGCGAGTGCCTGAAATCTCTGTAAAAACGGCAAATCTGCTCCACTTTAATACAATAAACATATTAACTTAAAATGTAAACTGACTGCTTTAATATTTCAGGACTTTAAGAATGGCATTATTGAAGAATCATTGCCGTTTTTCCCTTATTTTTTTATTTTATTTTTTTTGCTTTCGGTTACACTTTGTTTTTTATGGTTTAGTGCATAATATCCAATCAACAAGGCTGATGGATGTAGTGTTGATGTGTAAATCTTTATGTTAAATAAAAAAGTAACTGCACATTTTACAGGTTAATTAAAAGATTCTGGGTGATGATCTGCCAGAATACACAGTTCTACAGTGAACAGCCAATGTATCTTCCCATCTGTACCACTATAGAGTGGAAGGAAAAGGGTTTCTCTGCTTGTATATTTCCACCAGGTGCATGATGGAGAATAATCTCAAAAGTCTAGTTGCAGTCTTGTAAATAGTGACACTGCAAGATTTCATGTCTTTTCAAAATCATAATCTGTGACTAAAAACTGTGACACTGCCTTTAGATGTGAGAGGGTGTCAGACTTTAGTCTTTCAAAAGTCTTTTCAAAGTCTTCTAGTGTATGGTTAGCATAAAGCATGATAAACACAGGGCATTAACAAATGTCTATTCATCGGTACTCACTGAACAAAGTAGCAGATACTTATCCAAAAAAGATACAAAAAGATAAAAAATGACTTCTTTTCAGTATTGTGTTACCAAAAAGAGTTTGGCATACTTCTGTAATTAAAAATTCTCTGTTCATATTTTATTGACACTAAAGACTAAGTAAGCTGGGGCTAGTCTGATGATTTCAACCCCAATTTGCACCTTTCAGGACACATTTTCACAATCTGAAGTGATTTTCTAGATCAGGAGCTCTTTGAAAGTGATGGAAAGCAAAGATGATCCAGAAGTGCAAGAGAGGAAATTAGACAATCTCTAGCCTTTCAATCAAGTGTGTTTGATTTTTACAACTCACAATGTTCAGAAGTGCTGTAGTGTGGTCAGTGATGTTTGCAAACAAAACTTCAGGCAATAGCCAATTTAAAAGGTAGAAGAGAGGGGAAAAAAGGCAAAGAGACATATACACATGCTGCATATACAGCATATTGCGAAGACAGGAGCTGCTTGCTGAACACAGAGCATTTATAATGCTACAGGGAGATTCACTCGAAAGAGGCCCAGAATACTCTGTAATAACTCTTGCTAGGACGAAGCAATCTGAAAGAAACAACGTGCAATGTGCTCCTCAGTATATGGAGCTTCGAACAAGCCAGGATGCCCGTGTCAGAGCAATGAGGTAGGTGCCGGACAGCCATCGCCACTTTTAACCTCTGCTTGCAACTTCCAGAAAAAAAAAAAAGTCTATCGGAAGTCTATCGGAACAAGCCTCGCACTGTGGAAAATTTCGAAGAAAAACATCCAATGTTTGGAGTAAAATATTTCTCCACTTCTCACTGCAATATCTGCATTTCTCAACCACATTCATCCCTAGTTCGCATTTTTGCTACACTTCTTCTGTGTGCATAAAAGTACAAAACAGGTCTCGTCCAGATTAGCTCTGTTTGTGTCATGTGATAACAGTGATTTCTGGGACTTTGGGCGCTTCTTCCAAAGCTGAACCTCGTTAAATGTTCTTCTTTCTTTGCCTTGCCATCTAGTGTGGGTGTCCTTACAACAAAAATAAGAAATTCTGTAAAACAGTGACATTAGGTGTTTGATGTGCTGAGTTTTTGAAATGTTATAAGATTTTAAAAGTAAATGTAGTGTATGCACATCTTTACTGGCATGTTACAATCTGACCATGTTTACATTTATAATAAATACAAAAGAGCGATTAAATAGCATGCCAGAGATTTTAGCATGCATATTATATTAAGGCTGTTACACATTCATTACACATTCTGTTAAGGGCTGCTACAATTTTTTTTTAATGAACTTTCTTTCTAATACAAAAGACAAATAAAACAGCATGCACCAAATTGTTATGTGCACTCCGATTCTCCCACCCCAACAACACCTCACATACACACACACACACACACACACACACACACACACACACACACACACACACACACACACACATTCACTCACACCTAGGGGCAATTAAGCATGTTCAATTGGCCTGACTGTGTCTTTGGACTGTGGGAGGAAACCGGAGTACCTGGAGGAAACCCATGCAGACACGGGGAGAACATGCAAACTCCGCACAGAAAGGACAACACCACCTGTTGGTGGCAAATGTTCACGAAAAACAGAAAACTGTTGGCAACTGTTCGCAAACGTTCTCATATGTTCGCAGAATTGGACCGCACCGGTGGTCTCAATGTTAGGACTCAAAGCAAAGTTTTAAACTGTAAACGTTATTTGAAAAGTGAACAGGGTCGTTCTGAATGATAGCTATTTGCTTCTCCATTCCAACTCCATTAATGATTAAGAGAACATGCATTTCAAAAATAGGTGTTAAAGCTCATGACATGAAGTCAGACGGCTTTTAACGTTAGCATTAGCAAGTTAGCTAGCTAGCTAGCACAACTATCTATCTTCATCCAGTGAGCGGACGTGTTTCTTCTTCAGATGCTCTAACATGGAGGATGCGCTGCCATGCCAGCTAAGGCTTTACAAAGAGCACAACACTGGCTACCTTTTTTCCCCCCCAAGTTCAGCGTGAAATGCTCCCACACGTTTGAGGATTTTGTTCTTGGGGCTGCCATCGCGCTTTTGTTAACTCTCCAATAAGTGGCAATGTCAAAGTGAGCGCAAGAAAGACACGTAATGACGTCACCAACTAACTATTAAAACAGTCGCCAACTAATTTGGTCGTCTATCTTAGTCAACTAAGTCGAATCACTGCACCCCTAGTTCTGATGATATAACTTAACTTTATGATGACAACGTCCCTACATGCCTGTGGTGAGTCTCTAATCATTGAGTTTGTGTAAGCTGCATAGGTGTGGACGAGGTTATGTCTGACCTCAGGAAGTTGAGCCTCTCCTGAACTTCCTGCACATGGCTGTAGCGGCTGCCCACTCGAACCGTCTGAGGATCGAAGCCTGTGTGCTCTGTTGAAAGCAGAGTTACAGAATCAAAAGTTTTGTCATGGAGATATTCATTCACATATAAAAATCCAATCCTCTTCTTACAAGAGAATCAGACTTTACCAATAAACTCTTAGTAAAAGTCATGGGATATACCTTTAGAGAACTGTCTCATGTTCTCCATGTAAGCAGACAGGTTCTCTGCAACCAGGGTGACCAGAGCATGGTTGTGCTGCAGCTGGTTGATCAGGTCATGACGGTAAAACACGTGAGGACTCCGCTGCGTCTGGCTTTGGGGGCGGACAGAAACATACAAAGTCATTGTGAAGTAAGCACAACAGCAGCAGAATAAAGGAGTCACTAGCATTACAAAGCAAAGCCATGACCATTTACCAAATTCAATGTAAGCACTGTTAAAGAAAAGGTTCTCAGAGCCTTCGTAAGCAATTACTTCGTTTTGTTTTTTTAAGCACAAAATATGAGATATAATCAGACTTTCTTGGACTAGCTTGACTATAATGGCTTTAATTATCATAGAGAGGTCCAAACCTATGGTGTTGCATCTACAGTTAAAGCAGGAAATACATAAATGCTCTCTGCTCAGTGTTCGAAAGGAATGGTTATTTGAAATGTTCATTTTAAATACCCATGCAAAGCACTTCAGACATGCATTTCAACATAAACTGCTGCTGACTAACCTGAGGTTCTGAGGGGCTTCTCCAAACAGGCTACAGATCTCTCTGATCTGTTTCAGAGCTGGGATCACCCACTTATCATTGGTTCGTAGTTCCTCAATGAAACGGTCAATCCACTGGATCTTCTGTGTGTCTCGGTCCTACATAGATGTGAGAGGAGGGACTTCAGTCACAGAGAGCCTACAGTCGCCGCCACATTTTAATTTAATTACATGTCAGTGACTGATAGCACGTCAGCAAAGGGGTCTACGAACACGAGAAATTGCTTATAAGGTTCTTTACTAGTATTTTATATAAAGGACTCCATCACAAACTGTATTCTAGAGAAGGAACAGTTGGGCAATGCTGTGGAAAGGAGATGATTATGGAAACTTTCACTAGGCTTACCTGAGAACAGCTGTAGTCCAAAATCTTGATGTGGGCACTCAAGGCCTGATCCATGATGTCGACAGGGACGTCATCACTGTGTGCCAAGTTCCACAACAGGTTGAGCACCTTGTGAGCCATCACTCCATCCTTGTCATCCTCTGCAAGTCTGCGGATCAACTCCAGCAGCTTTTCCCTCTGCTTCTTGCTCGCATTCGTCCAACTTGCCTGCCGATAAAATTAAGGGAACTTCCTGATAGCTTACAATGGACTAGCCTGATTGCATTCTGTACAAGCAGTGACTGATGGTGGTATCATGGTCACTTCTCTAAGCTGCTTTCCCACGCCAACAGCACAAAGTGCCAGCACCGCTGGTTATGTGGTTATAGTTTTGCCTCTTCTGTTATTGTAGCTTTTTATTTAATATTATAATTATATTATTATAATTATAATAATATTATAATTAAAATGGTAGTTTTGTGTGTGTATATATATATATATATAAAACTTAAATTCCAAATGTAAATACAAATTTTTCATGAATTTTTCTGTTACAGTGTACAATTTAATAGTATTATTGTACCAACTTTAGTGTTTCTTACCTTGAAACAATCAAAGAGATGGTCCAGCTGCTCAGGAGAGAAGTCCCAAGCCAGCTTTGCCAGCAGATCATGGACATTCTTCACAATGGCCTCATGCTTACCAGCCTAAAACAACAGATACCACACAGAAAAAATTTAGAAAGAGAAAAAAAGAAAGCATTTTCATATTTATCAAACATTCTCCTTTTGTGTAATTAAGCAGCAGTACCTGAGCAGCCCAGATGTTGTCCAGGTCCTGTAAAGTGAGGGCTTTTTCTTTAATGACAAAGCGCAGTATCTTCTCTAGTTTCTCCACATACTGAGGCTGGTGCAGACTGTCTCTCAGCACAATCGACAGAATGTTATTTTGCTGAATCCATTCCTAAACAATAAAAGGACAAGCATGCTTCAGCAGTCTTAGCTACACCACAACTTGCAAGTTCAATCCAAGAATCAGAAATGTAGCTTTAACAGCTTTTTTTGCACATGGCTGGGTCTTAACATAATGAAAAATTTTAAAATTTTAAATGGCAATATGTGCAAACGTTTAATAGTTATGGCCCTTATTTATACTAATGATAAACAAATGAACAAAACTTCAGTTGAATCCCCTTCAAATGTAATTAGCATGCTCACTGGCAATGCCAAAGAATAGCTAAAAGCTAAGAAAATGTTAATAAAATTGGCTGAAATGGCTGAAAATGTGATGAGAATACAACCTCAAACCTCATTTAAAAATAAGCCACCCATTCTCAGAATGTGGTTTTGCATTGTCTTGTTGAAATACGCATGGGACGGAAAAGACGTCGTCTGGAAGGCAGCATATGTTGCTCCACAGTCTCTATGTACTTTTTCGCATTAATGGGGCCATCACAGTATGTTACCTTCACTGAGGGTGCTAACACAACCCCACGCCCTGACAGACCATGGATTTTGGACTCATTGCTACGAACAGCCGGATGGTCTGTTTCGTCTTTGGTCCAGAGCACATGCCCATTTCTTCCACAAAAAAAGGACCTAAAATACTGATTTGTCTGACCACAATAAACATTTCCACTGTGTGATGATCCATCCCAGATACCTCCAAGCCCAGAGAAATTGAGGGCTCGTCTGGACAGAGTTAACAAAAGGCTTCCTTCTGGCACAGTTAAGTTTTAACTGGAATTTGTGGATGTAACTACGTATTTGAGTGCTTGACAAAGTAATCCTTAGCCCAGGTGGTTACATCGCTTATAGATGAATGACAGTTCTCGATGCAGTGCTGTCTGAGGGATCGGAAAGCAGAGTTATTCCGCTTAGGCTTGAACCTTGCCCTTTATGCAATGAAATTCCTCCACATTCCTTGAATCTTTTAATTATGTTATGCACCGTAGAGGGTGAAATATCCAAATCCCTTCCTATCTTTCTTTAAGCAACATTGTTTTTAAACATTTAAAGAATTTTCTCATACATTTTCTGGCAAACTGGTGATCCTCAGCCCATAGCTGAACTATGGCCTTGGATTCTGCTCTTGTACCAAATCATGACTGCAATCAGCATCACTTGTTTCAAATCACATCATTATTAAATGATTTTACCTTATTACTAGCCCTAAACTACTCCGTCACAACTTTTTTTTTTGGAAAGAAAGTGTTGCATTCCTGAATGGCAGGAATGGATGCGTATTCACAAATGAAATTATGTTAAACCGGACCAAATATGAAATATCTGGTGTTCATACTGTCTGCATTGAAATACAAGTAGGAGTAAATTTTAGAAATCAGTGTTTTATTTTTGTTATTTGCATTTTCCATACTGTCCCAACTTTTTCTGATTTGGTGTTGTATATCCAAAGAGGGACAGTAGTTTTCACGTCCCATATGCTGTCAATAAACTCTTACCGCCATTCTTTCAGCAGTGAGCCACTCCTCTTCCTCTGGGTTTCCATGGCGATGGGTGTAATATGAAACGCTGGAGATCACTTTGTTCACTTCATTTAGTGCATTCATTTTTCCATTAAAAGATGAAATTTGCAATAACCTGTGAAAAAGCCAAATTATTCAATTACGTCCCTTTGTTACATGCTTGGATTATGCAAATGTAATGCAAAAAAATTACATTAAAATCAACCTGAAATAAAACATAAGAGGTCTATTTTGATAAGTTAGTTCATGTCTCCAGTGACAGTGTGTTTTGTCATTTCATACCAATTAAAAGCCAAAAATGTTCATTTACCTCATCGCTTTCAACTGAACTTTAATGACTTTTCCTAGCCTTGAGTATGTTGTTCATGTTTTGATTACATCAACAAGGCTCAGGCAGCTCAGAGACCCTCCCTGATACTGCCTTTCACTCTGAAATGCGTCACAACAGGCTCGAAAGCATTAACAAACCTAACATTTTGGGGGGAAAGCATCTGGAGGTCACTCACCTAAGGATCATTTTTAACCTAAAGATTTCTAAATTCTTGACGGTTTCTTCTTGGCCTGGTACTCTAGACGCCAAATTCTTCAGTGACTTGATGATCATGGAAAGGGCATCATTCTTGGCCTCATTCTTGGCCTCTTTCTTAAGTTCCTCATCTGTGAGGTTCTCCAAAAACTGTGGAACCATCTCAATCACAGGCAAGAAGAACTTCTTCACTGTGTGCAACGTCAAGAACTCATAACACTGCCCAAAAGGCCTGTGAAAAAAGAACAATCAAATTGTTGCATGAATGTTAAGGGAATACAGAACATAGGTTGTTGTTCCACATTTGGTTTTGAGATATCTTACTTGATGAGAGCTGCAATTATCTGCACATTAAGAGCCTGGCCACTCATGAAACGATCATGCAGAATCTGGAACCCGTTCAGTGTGCCAAATTTATTTATGAGGTCCACCAGCCAGCCCTGAGCATAAAGAGACAGACAGGAAGACAACAGATGAAAACCAAACCAAGGAAGAAACTAGGAAAAATCTTTACTTTTCACAATATTAATACTTTTGCTATAGCCAGCAAATCTCCATCAGTCTAAATGTGTTTCTCCCAACAGACATGTAAGTTAAAGTGACGATACCTTAGGTGAACGAGGGTCTGGTGGACGTGCAAACAGCTCATCATCAGCGAGCTGGGCACCAGCAGGCACACTCTCAGACGGGCGAGTCCCGTTGTAGATGTGAAACTTGCAGTGAGGGTTGGTTGCCATGGCTAGTAGCTCAAGCAGAGGAAACCAATCTTGAGACAGTTTGACCACACAGAGCTCCACCAGGCGGTGAGTGTTATTGATGATGCACCTCTGTAGAGCAGAATCAACAGTCCAGCAAAAGAAAGGAATCCAAAATATCTTACAGCTAATTTAGCACAAAGAATACTCAAACCAGTATACCACAGACAACAGTACTTACATGAATTTCAAACTTCCAGCCACTCACTGCCTCATCTGTCAGTATTTTCGTGAACGAGATTGTCAGACCATCTCGGAAAAACCTCTGACATGCCTCACACTTCACGTCAAGCCCTTCAGAAAAATGGACACAAGTAAATATCCTCAGAATTCAAACCACAATTAGTAGGGTCATTTTGGATTAATGCAAATTTAATTATAGGGTTTGCAATTAGTAAAGTAAAAAATGTTGAGCCATAAGAGAGAGAGAAAACTAAAAAACAACTTGACACTGTCACTTCATCAAGACCTCTAGTTTTACTCTATTCACAGCTTCTCCGCTAGCAACACACTAACTCCTGTTAGTCACTTACACACACAATAACACATGTTTGTGTATTCAAGACAAAGGCTACAATTCAGACTTGAACTGTAGCAAAACTGTTGTGAAGTCACTTGGTTTCAATGTTTAATTATTTCAAGTATCAATTTAGCCAACCTCTTCACTGTGTAACAATCAGGGACATGCATTCCAACTACTTTTGATATTTAAGTATCCCTAAATATTAATGAACGGATATCCAATTGACTGCAGGGAAGAAAAAAGCAACAACAGAAAGGAAAAAACAGACTTCAGCCAAAATTGGGCTGTAGGTTTACTTTTTTAGATGATAGCAATGAAGGTTATAATTTAAAACACTTTATTATTGGGAAAAATTAGGAAAAATCCAAGGGAAATTGGTAGGGTTTTGTGCCAAATGAGTAACAAACGATGCCTCCTCAGAGCAGCTAAAGAGCTGACATTAACCAGTACAATTTTGGATGCTGATATGGACTCGTCTTCTACACAAGGTCTTTTCTCCTCAGCGAAATATATTTTCAGCTAGAGTAGTTAGTACAGTTAAGAAAATAGCCACACCAGAGCCCAGGCCATGCTATTTCTGCCTTTTCAGTCACTTCCTTAACAAGTCCTTGGCAACACGCTCATATTCAGGCACTTGTGTTTTGTAGTAGCAAAGTATAATATACTTACTAGCAAACCTGTCACATTTTACAGTCATGTTAAAATATAAGACCAGTGTTTCACTAAACTATTGGCTTGTATATTTTCTGTGTCTTCCCATGATGAAATATAACGAATAACCGAACAGTGATTTTAGTATCAGTATACTGGCACCTCAAACAGTTAACCGAGTACTCAAGTACCTGTGCACGTCCCTAGTTACAAAATTAATTTATCCTAAGCCATCATAACAAGTTTAACACTAGCATAACAAAAATATCTGTAGGTTTCCGTATATATTAAGATACAGACAGATAGATAGATAAATAGATAGATACATAAGATAGATAAATAGATAGGTAGATAGACAGACACTTTATTGATCCCAAAGGAAATGTACCTTTTTTCTAAAAGTGTTCAGTTTCTCTATTAATTTTCAGATTCGCTTTCAAAATAAAATCTGGGTGTCTAACAGGCAAAAGCAGTCGAACATTGAATTTTTTTCCCTGCCCAACCCCTTTCTTGCAACTACACTTGCCGTTACTGACTGTAACCCAACCCTCCCCTACCCCACTACCCTACACATCAGTAGAAAGGGACCACTGCAGGACCACCACTGACCAGATATTACTTGGGTGATGATTCACACTCAGCACAGCAGTGACAATGAAATAGTAGTGGTATGAGTGTAGGCACATCTGCGTTGTTGGGGTTGACAGGTCTCTAGAAGCATGCAAAAACAAAAATATATTCATGCTACGTTGTACACTCCCTGTACGTTGTACACTAGCATTTAAAAAAATGAATATTAATAAAATAAATAAATAAACTAAAAAAAAACAAAACAAAAAAAAAACATTTACTTTACTAGTCGCTCTATACCATTTCTGTTCTAAAACAAACATTACTACCTGGTGCTAAAGAGATTCACTGTTTTTGCCTGCAAGACACCCAGATGTGACTTTGAAAGCGAATTCGAACCTGTAAATTATGCTTGCTTTTTCAGGAACTGAATTTCAGACATTCGGTTGTATATCATCAACTGTGAAATTTAGTTTCAGTTATACTGCTCTCTTATAAACCTTAAAGTTCAATTTCACGTTTATGTATGTATGCTGCATCATCTGTTCCTGTTTGTGGAATACTGGTACCAAGGTTATGACGCAAAAAGAATTTCAACCTGTACACCCAATGAACCAGTATATTGCCCACTACTTGTCAGCACTTCACAAAGCAAGCTAGATGGCATACACTGCAACTATAACTTGCTATTCACATAACCAACATATTTATTGCCTTTCAATTGTTGCCTCAAAGTGCATCAGACTGATTCATTTAACATCTACATTTGTGAAACTGCTCTTACAGACCCCTAAAGAGGTCGAAGTCACCCACTATTGTGTTTGACAATCCTGCAAGAAGCCATCTAAATAGTGATACAATTTTTTTTTACCTTTTTTACTAAGATCTATAGCAGCTTCAAGTAGAACTTCCAGCTCCCCCTTTGGCAAGACTGGGACCACCCAGCGAGGTCTAAGAAGAGAAGACATGAATACAAGAAGTACAAATCACACTGCACCAAGAAATTAAAGAACAACAAAAAAGAAACTACTATTAAACATACTATACGGTTAAATAAACACTGCTTTGCCTTTACATTAATGTGTAACTACAATGAAGAGTCATCCTGAGTATCGCTAGAGATGAAAAAGATTACAGACCGGTTGATCATGTCATCCAGCTTGGCCAAGTCTGTGTGGGGAAAGGCTGGCTCCTCCTCTTCCTGTGCCTGCTGAGCATCACTCTGCCCCTGCTCCTCTGGTGGACTCAGCGGAGACGTTTCATTAGAGGAGTTGGGAGAGGGCGTCTACGTAAACACACACACACAAAGACATTAGTGTATAATACAACAGAAGAAGCAAAGCCATTGGTGAATGAGACTGAATTGCTGACAGACAGCAGGAAAAAAAAAAACTCTGAAGCTCATCGAGGGCGTTAATGGGAGCTTAAGATTTCTGGCTTTACTCCATTTCCCAAGGCGATTTATTAATTTCTCTGGTACCAATTAGGATTTAACAGCTGAGACTTGTCATGGCTTAGAGGGCCTTATCAGTCACCAAAGCCTAAACAAAAGCAGTCGGGCCACAACTATGGAAAAAAACACTGTCAACAACCCATTCAACAACAGGAGTCAAAACCGTCTTATTCATTAAGTTATACTGTTCACCATGATGTGAATACAAAGCAAAATGTAGGTTTCTGAAACCATCCAGAAGCATTTTCCGTAAATAGTCACTCTCCATTCTGAATTCTTGCGTATATGCTTCTTGTTAAACATGCTGTGCATTAATCACATGTACCTACAGCTGTATCCATATGTACAGGTGCACCGACATGCAAATATGCAGGTATGCACCCACAGAGGCATACCTGGTTCTGGGGAAGCAGGGTTTGGCTCTGGCCATCCGGAGCTTGGCTCTGGCCCTGGTTGTCGCTGCTCCCCACAGGGGAGCCCCGGGTGGTGGCAGTCATGCTCGACACAGGGCAAATCTTTGCAATTTTGTCCGCTTATGTGGTAGGAGTCAGGTGGGAAATCACTGCCTGGAAGGCAGCAAGGTGGAACCAGAGGGTGACTGAGTGGAAGAGCAGCAGCTGAGACTTATGCTGAGTTGCAGTGACCATTGCATTACCTGCAAGATAGAAGCAGATAGGTGAGTTACCAGGGTACAATGGTGGAGATACCAAAGCAATCACTGACAACATTCAAGCAAACTAATTAAACATTAAAAAACAATAAAATAATGGCTTAAAATATATCAATTAATCAGCAACTATTAGCTGGCAATTTGTATGATAATGGTGCACATTTGAAAGATTTTCCCTTACAGTAAGACAGAGAGCCTGACTGACACAATCATGTACAGTCATATGTAAAAGTTTAGGCACCCCTGGTCAAATTACTTGTCTGGTTGATTTTCTAACAAAAAATAAGATAATACATCCTCTACAGAGAACAAACTCCTGCAAATTTTAAATGCATGATCATTGCCTATTTACTTTTCTTTTTTTTTTTTTTAAACACAATGGCCAAAATTACGGCACGTTTTATATTTTATTATTTTCTAAATATACAAGAGTAAACAAAGTGCACTAAAGTTTGCAGAAAAATACTATATTTATGTTTGTTCCCTGCAGATGATGTTTTATGTTCTCATTTTCACATAGAAAATCAACAAAACATGGAATCTGACCAGGGGTTTTTAAACTTTTTTTATACAGCTGTACACATTTTGTCTCCAAACAGTGCTTTCATATTCTTAATGTGGTCCCTTAAAAAGTTTCCTTATTTATCTTTTTTCAACAGTATTTTCTTGTGTCTTTGAAAGGCAATGGATGGTTTGTTATTCTTCAGTTGAGTTCATTTTTATTGCTTGGCCTTTTTTAAAACCATTGATTACTCAGCTAATTGACAAAACAACTGTTATACAATATTGAATTACTAATCAACAGCAATAGCCCTACATTCTCACAATGAAGTCGTTCTATTCAATTTTTCATCAGTCTTTCAAGTGCTCTGTAACATGAACAGAGTTCAGCTGATTTCTCAGAATATCTCCAATCCTGCTTGGCATGTTACAGCATAAAGCTGTGCTGAAGTAATGTAGTATCAGTCTAAGAGCAGACTGACGTAAAAAGGACAGGCCTGGCCTGCCTGTAGGACTCCTGCTCCATCTGAGTTGAGATGCCGGTGCCCAGAACCAGCTGCTCTCGTCCATCCTCTCCTCACAACGTGAGCAACAAGCAGATTATGAAACCAAAACGTGCTCCAAACTCATATAGAGCACTCAAATTACAAAACAACTCAAAGTTCATTTGAGTTCAACTGTACTAAAATGCATTATTACCTTATAGGCCTAATTCGTCTTGATAGCCACCACGGACCAGCTGTTTCTCTAATCTCACTTACCACAGTGTTAAAATGACATGCTCTAACAGACACAGAGACTATCTTCTCCTGTTGCTGGTTTTGCTGTGCAGGCATGGTATTCTGTTGTCACCATACACTGCACCGCACTATTTATAGACAGCTGAACAGCTCCGCCGATCTGTGTCACTGGTGCATTTATATAGAGCGCTTCAAATTTACAAAGACAAATGTAGGCAACTTCAGTTCAATGAAATTTACACTCCTAAAATGGTTCTATTGAATCAGACACAAAGCAGGCGCAACTATGCAATCTAAGCGTTCCCATTAAAATCTAGACCATTTGAGACTCTTGCTGGGAGAATGATGGGTTTGGCTAGTAATGACGTCAAGCTGAAATACAAGCCCTTTCCCCCGATTTCCTGCATGAGACCTAGCTTGGGTCTGAAATGATGTCTGAAACTCCCTAGGGCACTACATAGATATGGCAAAGAGACTGGTCTTATCTTTTCATACACAGAGACCAATATACTCTGACACATAGATGTAGAATTCATAAATAAGTAAATACAATATCTGTTCTCAATAAACAGTATACAAACAATTATTACAAACTATGTGAGATCAAAACATACAAATGATAAAAATATAAAGCACACACACACGTATGGATGTATATTAAAATGTGTATATGCATTTATAAATATATACGTATATAAATACATATACATGAATATGATTGAATGTGCAGTACAAAGTTAAACTAAAGCCTTTTCTTATCCTATGCTTACCATAATTCTGCAACCACTGCACACTCTCACATCATTAAAGATTCCAGCAGCTTTTACTGGGTAGCCAATAAGCGAAATCTTGCTATTTACGTGATAGCAATGTATGACCCACTCTGTTCTTTTACATTAGCATTAGGGATGCATATATATCATTTGTTATTTAAATACTCATCACACAGAAGGCTGCAATTTTTGGTGTACTATGAGTCTAGTTTAGAGGGTAAATATCAAGATGATTTGTCAGCACCTGTCTGTCATTAATTCACATTGTTTGACTCACTTAAGCAAATGGTTTGAAACAATCAAATCTATAAAATCAGGCCCATGTCCCATCATCTGCTTTCATGTTCAGCAGATCAGCTGACCATTCACAAAATGATGACCGACATCAATCACTGTGCATCACTGCACAGCAACCGTTTTTAAGCATTACTTCCTCCATCAAGCAAAAGAAAACTCAAGACAAAACTCATCAGAACAAATGTGGAGTGAGAATGGCAGCAGCATAAAGCACTATTCGGATGTCATAAGTGTGATTACTGGTGTTTCTCAGTGATGTTAGTCATATCTGAATCAGTGAGGTCAGTCATTTTTAAACACTGCGTAAAAATTCCAGCAGCTTTTACCTACTGTAAAATTAACTGTAGAAAAATTGTACTTAGGACTATAAACATAGTAATACCCACACCATCTTTTGCATTCAATAAGGTTTGCGAAAAAAGCCTGTGTTAAAGACATGTAATCTTTAGTATTAGCTCATCTAAAAGGACAGCTTTGGTCATTTCAACTTCACTTTAACAAGCAGTGACCAAAAGATTTCCACGGATTTATTAATGTAAACAGGGTTTTCAGAATCATTTTTCCTTTAAATTGCCCTACATTCGTTTTGCCAATTAACAAACACGTGAACATTTTGTAAAGCCAATTATCTTTTGAGCAGTAAAATGTTTTTAAATGAATTCCTGAGTGTGTTTCCAGAAGTTCCTTTATGCTCCGATCCTTCTTCTTCTTCCTTTTTTTTTTAAATCTGTTTGCAGATGGTTGGATTTCAATGTAAATTGAAACTGTATCTCAGAAACGGAATAATACAAAACAGCATTGCGCTAATTTCTCTGACAAAATCTAAACTTTGTGTCAAAATGATGTGAAAATTTATTTAAAGCAAAAATAGAGTATAGATTTAGACTCAACTCGAAATGTACACATATATACACACGTATATTATTTCCTGAATATTTTACTGCACTACCTATTGCTACAAAGTCCATAATTATAAGGACCAAAAAGATTAGACAAGTCACCTATCAAGAGTGAAACAGAAAGCATACTCTGTAATCTAGACCCAAAAGTAAACAAAGCCAAAACTAGAACTAACCTGATAAGTCAATACACAGACATATGATTGCTACGTTTACTCTTCATAGCTAACTCGTTTTTCCCCTTGGAATTTAAACACTAAAACAATCACATTTAATCAGCTTGTTTTTGGGATGCACAAGCAAAAACATTCTGAATTGACACAAAGCATGAATGTATCTAAATATCTAAGTCTTAATGTGGTAATGTTTGGAATGTACAACACGATCAAAACATATTTTGAAATACCCCTTTAATAAATAGTAACACATTGGCGAACACTTAATATGACATGGCCAAAGACAGACATATTTGACAATGGTTAATGATATGTGTAATCTTGTGTAAGAGCCTTAATTTGCCAAAGCATCTACAGAACACTCACAGAGGTGTATAATACTCTCACAGCACATGCTACAGGTTATTAGAGCCTTAACATGATTCAGTACATGCTTAGACAACGTTTTTTGGGGTCAGCATAAGTATCAATAAGCAGGGCAGGATTCACCTTTGTACTCTGGAAATGCATTTTTCTGGAAATATATTTTTCTAATTCTAAAAAGAGCAACAAGACTAATCGATTCTCCTTGATGCTCCTCAACTCATTTGATCTTTATTATATTTTAATGCAGTAATAATTCAAGTATGCCATTCAATTATCATGAAAACAAAATACTTTTTTTTTTAATGTGGTTGAGTTTAAGTACAAATTCTGCTTGTGTCTGTGAACTTCATGTCAGAAGCCAAAATAATACATAAGAATAATATTCAGCACAGCACGTTCAACTAGAATCTATTTCATGTTTGCTATGTATGTATTAATCCATAAAAGCAAGCAGCTACCTAGCTAACTGCAAAAAAAAGCTACATTAACAACGTTAAGGGCTCCTTTACCAACAATAGGGTATTGCACCACACTCTCCCTGTCAAGAACAGCTTCTGTGTGTGTACGTCTTACTGTCAGATCCGGCTGCACGCTGTACACCAACAAACTAAAAATGCAGGACAGCTACGGAAAAAACGATGTGGGGTTTGAATGTAAATCTAGTGCAACATGATTAGGCATCTACTCAAGAAAGAAAATTTATCTAATTTAGCTCTGACAAAACATACCATGACAGAGCAGTGTTAATATACAAAAAAAAAAAATAATAAAAAAAAAAAAAAGGGGGATTTTGGTGCAAAATTTGCCTTCAGCTTCTGGTCCCTGCACACTTCCTACGCTGTAGTATATTTTGTGCCATGTTTCAGGAAGTGAAAAAGAACAACATCCTGTCATGCAGGTGACTTGGTTTGTTCCTCTGTTAAGGTTGTTTGTCGCAATTCTTTACATGAAATGCTGATGCAAGGGACTGATTTTCAAACACAAACAGTACAAAACTTTAACTGATAAGGGCCAGAGAAAAACAGAAAATTTACAAAACAGAATCATAACAAGAGTCAAAACATCCAGACAACCCCCCCCCAAAAAAAAAATCCATACATCCATACATGGCTGTCAGTGTATTTGAACAAAAA